TGGGGCTTCGGTTTGAGGGTTTAGGGCTTAGGGTTTGTATGAAGGCACATTAGAGGTTTACAATGACCTGCGTTGGTACTGTCGGGAGGTTAGGCGTCCAGGGCTGCAAGGTGTATTGACATGGACTTCACACCTCAAACCCCCTGAACCCTTGACCCTGAGGTTCAGTGGGGTTGAGTATGGGGTTCAAGGTTCAAAGCTCAGGATTTGGAGTTTGGGGTTCAGCATGTGTCAGAGGCTGCAACCGCCAGTGAACTTCCTGGTCGCGAGCGCATGTGTTCAGTTTCACGGCTCGGGGTTTGGGGTTTCGGTTTGGTTTAGGGCTTAGGGCTTAGGGCTTAGGGCTTAGGGCTTAGGGTTTAGGGTTTAGGGTTTGGGGTTTAGGGTTTAGGGTTTAGGGTTTAGGGTTTAGGATTTAGGGCTTCAGGTTTAGGGTCGAGGGTCATGGCTGCTAAGGCTGTAGGGTGTTAGGGTCAAGGGCTCGGGTGCTTCGACTTGCTTGAAATGGTGGGCAAACGGCCAGCTGGACCTTAAACCCTAAACCCTAAACCCTAAACCCTAAACTTGTACCTCTATACACATACCCCTAGATTCGCCCTTGAAGAGATAACATCTCAGATCCCAGCTCCCTACTCCCCTGCTAAGAACCAGCATGTTCATGCAGATGTGGCCTAAAACTGGGGCCTATTAGGTTTAGTGCACAGAACTCATAAGGCACACAAGCTGTTGGCTGAACACTCCATGTACTTGGAAGCTCTTTTGACTTAGCAAGTAGGGTTAGTAAGGTGGGTTCTGGGGATTGTAAGAGAGTTTCCGGGATTCTAAGTAGACTTACTAAGTCAAAAGAGCTTCCAAGTAGTCTGTGAACAACTGGCTGCACGCTGCCAAAACAAATGCTCAACACCTTGCACCTCAAGACCCTTGCACACAAACCAGATTCAACACTCCGTACAGCACTCAGTCGTCTGCACATGCTTCGTCGAGGCCCGAGGGCAGCCCAAAACAAAGTTAAACATCATGACGCAGTCATGACTAATTGTGCTTGTGAGATGCACTGGGTTCCCTGTGCATTACCGTAAAACGCCTACTCTGCATGTTACCTGCAAGGGGGGCCCCCTAGTGAATCATCAGGGCTCTCAATTGGGCCAAAAGTAGGTCGTAAGTCCTTAATTATCGCTAGTATAGTACGGGGGGGGACTTCCTTGTGGGCACATGGACGAACAAGAGAGGATGCGGCCTGATCTCGCGATAACATCGAGAAGCAGCACCAGTTGTGACGTCGGGCACGGTGAGAGTTTTAGCTCCGAACTGACGAATTCTTCACTTCCAAACAGATCTCGGCCCAAGTCACGCCAAATGGCCTTAGGCCTTTAGGCCTGATAGCTGTAGCCATTTCCTCTCTGAGCCACAGCAACTACAATCATAAATTCAGAAAACTCAACCCTCAACCGCACAACACCACTGGCTTGTGACATCTTGCCACCCGTTGCTACTCAAGGGGGGCTTGACTTGGAGGTGTTTAGGGTTTTTAAGGGCTTAGATGTTTGGGTCCCACCTGGAAAAGTTGTCAAGGGACCCGTGCCCGCATTTTGGGGCTCAGGCCGACATGACTGCATGCTTTCAGGCCCAAGGTTCCCCCCTTAAATATCCATCATATGGCTTAGTTCTCCCTGCCCTAAATAGCCTCCATTGTGGGGGGAACCTAGGGCGGGGGTGAGGAGGGGGGGTGGGGGGGGGGTAGCCCTAAACCCTAAACCCTAAACCCTAAACCAGTATAGAGAGGGGGGTAGTAGGAGAGCCCAATTTAAATTTGGTCAAATGGAGAACGTGCTCTCATCATCTGCTGGGGCCGCAGCCTTGCGCAAAACGCGGCTCGCCAAAGCGCCCCAACCCGGAACCCCTTAGGGTTCAGGGTTTAGGGTTTAGGGTTCAGGGTTCAGGGTTCAGGGTTCAGGGTTCAGGGTTCAGGGTTCAGGGTTTAGGGTTTAGGGTTTAGGGTTTAGGGTTTAGGCTTTAGGGTTTAGGGTTTAGGGTTCCTTGGGAGGAGTCAAAAAACAGAACACCCCCAAGTAGTACCCTCTACTACTACTGGGTCATTCTTGGGGCTCCTTGAGGGGATCTACTTTCTGGATCCTCCCATACCCCTTAACTGAGGGGTATTGAGGATTCTTGGGCAAGTCCTAGCCAGAGTTTGGAGGCGGTTGGACCACTGTTCCTGCGTCGCGCGTTATTTCAGAGGATCGAGGCCACCATCATCAACGCCATACAGAGATATACAGCACAGGTTCAACAACATCGTAGTCGTCTTGGCAGAACACCAGGAGGGTCCAGTCTGTACAGAAAAAGGTCGAGGAGACACCTTTCTCGGGGAGTTTCGAGGATGGGGGTCGATATTGAGACCCCCCAATTTTCGGAAAGCCTCATATCGCCCTTGGTAATGGCCTACAGCAACCTGCATGAGACAGCAACAAGGCTGCAAAGCCATCCCGTCCTCAACATAACCGCACGTCTTCGAATGCCACATGTTCAAGGGCACTCCCTTCCATGACGCCGAGATGAATCCTAAACCCTAAACCTGTGAGCTTACGCAGTTATCAAGGCACAAGGAACGCTGCGGCTGAGTTGCAGCGCTCCTCCCTCCCTCTCTCTCTTGAAGCCCACGAATGCAAAGCAACAAGAGACAGACCTCGACCCAAGAGTAACCTAGGAATGAAAAGCGTGCCCCTTGTGGTGTAAAGCCCTACAGAAGGGAACCAAAAAAGAAGGGGGATAAGGGCCTACTCTGGGTCCTAGACACTGGGTAAACCAGGGAGGGCCACTGATGTCACAGGAGCTTACTTGGAGGTTCAGGGTGCTTATATAACCCCAATTCTAACTGCACTGATAGACCCCCTAAGTCCTCTAAGTCAAGTGGGTTCTAAGTAGACTTGTAATCAGGGTTCTAAGTACCCATGAACCTCCAAGTAGGGACGGCAAGCACAGGCACCGTCATAGGGCTGCTGCGGGTTTGATGGACATGCCCATCCGGCTTATCCCTTATCCACCACGGCTAGGAAAGCCCCAAGAGCTCCTACGAGGGTTCAGGATGTGAGCTTGGGCCCGGTGAACCCTGTTTAGGGTTTGGAGTTTTAGGGTTTAGGGTTTAGGGTTTAGGGTTTAGGGTTTGGGGTTTGGGGTTTGGGGTTTGGGCTTTCCTTACCTGCTCCGCCACCATCCCACCGAGGGTGGCAACGAGCGACTGCGGGGCGCGAACCTGAGGAAGCAGCACCCAGAGAGCCCGACGTATGAGGCTCTTTGGGTAGCCCTAAACCCTAAACCCTAAACCCCCGTGGAACACGGAAGTATGAGTTGAAGGCTCCTCGCTTGGATGGCGCTCCGGACATCGCGCGGCTAGCGTCTTGGGCTTCACAGCTTCATCCAACTGATATAGGGGCCTTAACAAATTAGAACAGGGTTTCGGGGGGTTCTTTCAATAAAATCACAAAGGGACCTTAATATTGGGAATACTATTAGTAATCACAAAGCACCTGAGGCTGGTCCCCTCAAGAAAGGCAGGTCCCCTCAACAAAGGAAGGCCGCACCTCTCGTGCCAAATCCGCCGCAGTCTTGCCCCTGTCATTTCTCATATCCTTGGGTTCGAGCTTGGCAGGTCTATCCGGACTGCCCAAACCCTAAGCCCGGAACCCTGAACCCTGACCCCTAACCCCAAAACCCTGAACCCTGAACCCTAAATCCAAAACCCCATCAGCCAGGCAGAAGCCCCCAGCTGAGACCCGAAAGCCATTCCATCACAAACCGAGCCCCAGCCCTCCAGAACCCTAAACCAATGTCAACCCGAAACGGGGGGTTCGGGGTTTTATGGCTAAGTGCTTAGGGGTCAGGGTTTAGGGTTGACGTTTTAGGGTATTTCCGACATTAGGGGTTCTTTCTCGGGGTCCTAACTAAGGGGTTCCTGTTCTGTGGCGATCTGCGGGGTCCTCTACGTGCCGGGACGAAGCAGGTGCAAAGTAGGGCACCCTAAACCCTTTTCGCAGCTTGCCCGTCCCAGGCCGCTAAAAGCCCTAAAACACCCTGAACATCCCCCCCCCCCCAAAAAAACAAAAAAAACAACTTAACCCCCAAAACCTTTAAACTCTGAAACCTACCCCCCCCCCACCCCCCTCTTCAAAATACGAATAAATCAATGACATGCCTAAAACGCTCAACCCCCCAAACCCCTGAACCCTGAAACCCCCAACCACAAAACCCTAAAGCCCCCCCTAAACCCCCTAAACCCCCCTAAACCCCCCTAAACCCCCTAAACCCCCCTAAACCCTCTAAACCCCCTAAACCCTCTAAACCCCCTAAACCCTAAACCCGGAACCCTAAACCCTAAACCCGAAACCCGAAACCCTAAACCCTAAACCCGAAACCCGAAACCCCCTAAACCCCCTAAACCCCCTAAACCCCCTAAACCCCCTAAACCCTCTGAACCCGGCGGAGCCAAGGTTCCAGGGCCGCCCCGGCCTCGAGGAGCTGTTGGGTGGCTTGGAAGCGGCCGCTGAGGATGCTGATCCTGCACCCCAAGCCCTAAACCCTAAACCCTAAACCCTAAACCCTAAACCCTAAACCCTAAACCCTAAACCCTAAACCTCTACTCTAAACCCTGAACCCTAAACCTCTAATCCTGCGGGTCTCTTTAGAGAGGGGGGGGTGATTTGTTAGGGGCTTAGGGTTTAGGTTTTAGGGTTTGACGTTTAGGGTTTAGGGTTTGAGGTTTGAGGTTTGAGGTTTGAGGTTTGAGGCTTAAGGTTTGAGGCTTGAGGTTTGGGGCTTTTAGGGTTGTTGCTGTTAGGGCTTTTCTGATTGTTTTGAGGAGCGGTCAGGGTTTTTGTTGTTCTTTTGATGGTGGGGGGGTTAGGGTTTCGGATTTTATGGTTGTTATTCTCGTTTTTTGCTGTTCGGGGGGGGGGGGGGGGGGGGGTTGGATTTCTTAGGGTTTTAGGCTCTTGTTTTGAGGCCTAGGTTGCAATGCCCGCCAACAAAGTCAGGAGCCAATGATTCAGAATCCCCCTGGCTCTTAGTAGGGCCCAGATACCCTTGAAGGATTATATAGGGTACCTCCTCCAATCCCTAAACCCTAAACCCTAAACCCTAAACCCTAAACCCTAAACCCTCATTCCCTACTAAGAGCCAGCCATGCTCAAGGTTCCTGACTCCGGAGTTTCGGGATCCTGCAAGGGTTTAGGGCTTAGGGCTTAGGGCTCAGGGCTTAGGGTTTAGGGTTTAGGGTTTAGGGTTTTCGGGTTTAGGGTCTAATTAGGGTTTCGGTTTAGGATTTAGAGTTTAGGGTTTAGGGTTTGGACAGTATCTTGGGTGTACGGTTTAGGGCCTTTGGGGCTCTGGGGATGTGGGCACTGCGAGGCGCCCTAAAAATCGCACGACCCTGCAGCAGACTGGCGCGACGCATCGGTCTGAAAACCTACAACCTTCATTTAAGCACCTCTAGGCTTCAGGAATTAGGGTTCAGCTTCGAGCCCTGAAACGCCAAACCCACGGCGGCGTCATGACGGGCGTGGCACCATGGTGATGATAGGCCAGCGTCGTGAGACCGGATGGGCTGACTCTGTGCTTCAGACCTGGATGGGTTAAGGAGTTCCTTGCCGGGGGCTTGCGTGTTGTATTGTTTACTTTGGGGCTGAATACCCTAGCCCAGAAACGGCTAGCCTTTTAAAAGTAATAGGCTTACATATAACCTAAAAGGTTAATGGTTAGCTACCCAGCTCCTAATTTTTGATTGCATGTTACAGTACCACTGTCAGAAGGCCCCTAAACCCCAGAGATGCGATCCCAAGCCCGGAAAGCTGCAAAGCCTTAACCACGAAGCCTGTCAACAGCTACTCTAATCCGCAGAAGGCCTCAGAGGGGTTTCTCAGGATCCCCACCCATAAACACGCCCAAGAACCAAAACTACTGCCCATCTTTTTTCAAACTGGGTGGGCGCCCCCCTGTTGGCTTGAGACCTTTCTGGGACCTGACCCTTTCTCGAATCTGGGTACCTCTCAAACACCATGTCAAGTCTCTATGAAGAAGGAAGTTTCTGGAAGCCCACATGTAGATAGCGCCGGCCAAGCGTAAACTTTAAACCCTAAACCCAAAAAAATCCCTCTGGGCAGCAAAGGTACCGTAAATTGCGAAGACCATCCGCCAGGGGACCTGCGTCAAACCTGAGTCCCCAACGGGCTTGGGAAACTGGCTTGGGTGAGGGCTTACCAGTTCCTTGTAGGGACGGCAGACGTGGTACCTTCGATGAGGAGGTACATAGAGGGATATAGCCCTTAACCCTAAACCCTAAACCCTAAACCCTAAACCCTAAACCCTAAACCCTAAACCCTACACCCTTTCCCAAACGAAGAAGTCGGAAGTAAGTGGTCAATGGTTTTTGCAGGGAGAGGCCGGAACTTTTATGCCAGGGGCAGAGATCCTTCAGCAGGGTTTAGGGTTTCGGATGACTTAGGGTTTAGGGTTTAGGGCTTTGGGCTTAGGGTGTGGGGTTTCTGCCACACATCTCAACAGCGTCCGAGCAGCGAAGCTGCTCATTGATGTCCGCCCTTGCCTCGATGAGAGTCGCGAGAGCCTCGGTGCCGTCTGAAAATCAGGCTTGAAAGTCAGGCTTGGGTTTGAGCGTTTAGGGTTTAGGGTTTAGGGTTGAATTAGGGTTCAGGGCTGGGGGCTTGCCGGCTCCTGAATTTGGGGGTGGGTTTAGTGGGGGGGAGAGGGCCTATTTTGGGAAGACATCCCTATGGATCTTTTGGAGGTTTCGGTTTGGATTGGATTTGTGGAGGAGTACCACACTAAGGGCTTCCTGGTTTCCAGGGTCTAGCGTTTCATGAGGACAGGGCTCATGTTGAAAACTAAGAGTCCTTAATAAGGATGATAGCAACCCCCTATGATGATCCCTATCAAGGACTGATAGTCTAAGGGGAAACATCCCAACTCACGAAGTTAAAAGCTTGCTTTTGGCGAATGAGTAACAGGCTTGGAGGCACCGTCAACAATCAGAGCATAATGCAGGCAGTGCCGCAAGCTCACTCTCGGTTCCTGCGCGATGAACTCCTGCAAGATGTGGCACGATCCACCAGCACAAGCCACCCCAAAGGAATCCAGTCCAGGAAGCATCGCGGCCCGCACATCCGACCCAGCCGCGCGAAGGATCCGGAAGGCTTCCACGTTATCTGAAAGGCACGCCCAATGCAAGGCAATGCTCCGAATACTTGCACGGGCACCTACGGAGGCACGAGCTGAAAGGAGGGCCTTGAGAGGCTCGATGTTTCCAAAATGGGTGGCTAAGCTGAGGACGTTCATGTGCTTCGGAAAGCCCAGCTCGAGCTTAGGTTTGGCAATCTTGTCGTTGCAGTTGGCCTTGCACTCCAAGAGGGCTTCAACAAGACCTGGCCGGCCGCTCATGGCGGCATAGCACAGTGGCGTCCAGCCCGCATGGTCGCGCTCGCGGAGTGTTCGAAACCCATTCTCATGCAGAAAATGCTCGACGATAAATGCTTTGGGCTCTGTACATGGGTCAGCTCGTGGGACAAAGGCCGGTACCAAGCTTTCGATGGGTGCCGTGTTCAGGTTGCGGAAGCAGCACCTGGCCTGCGTGTTGAGCAAGAACCGATAGTTGTGCAAGTCGCCCTGCTCCAGGAGGTACAGAAGCTTCTTCCACACCATCTGAAGAATGACCCGCCCGATCTTAGTGCGGTCCGATGCGACGGTGAACTGCCCGGAGCCTGGGGCATCCAAGTGCCTGACTCCGTTCAGAACCAAGTGCTGATGAGTAGAGCTCTGGATCACGAAGGCAAAGCCATCACCTGGGGACTTCCGAAAATCTTTTTTTATTCACCCCAAAATACTACATACTCCTGTTAAAGGAACCCCCCCCCAAAAAAAGGGTACCCCTACTTTCGGAGAACCCCCCGACCTCTTGCGGCAAGCTCCCGCGCGAGTCGTTCCGTGCGACACCACCCTCTCTCTGCCCAAGTATGTTCGCCCAACATCGACTGCTGCTGTGCGTGAGCCAAAGCCGGGCAGAGGATCACGAAGTACTCACATCGGGAGATGTAGGAGACCTTCGTAGCCCAGCACCCTGCTTTGACTTAGTACTTACTTAGTAAGTAGGGTGAGCACGGTGGGTGATGGGGATCATAAGAGGGCTTCTAGGGGATACTCGGCTTGGCAGCTCAGAAACCATAACAAGGGTTCCCGTTTTTGGGATTGAGTACTTTATAAGGGAACCTTGAACCCAAACGAAAAAAGGTAAAGGGCGCCAAGCAAGATGCTATGGAGTCAATGGCCGCTTGTCGTCTGCTCTTAGCCATGAGGTCACCGCCTTGAGGGCACGAGAAGTAGTCGTACCAAATATGCAGTGGCTGAGCCCTCAGGTCAGCCGCTGTAGGCGTTGGCACGCGGCCGAGCGTCATCTCCGTGATGACTGGCACATGGACTGAGCTCTTGCCGGTCAAGATGTTGCCAATCGCCGCTTGGAGCACCTGACTGAAACGAAACAGCATTGCCGTGCTGAACAGGGCAAGACGTTTCAGCCAGTTCCGATCCCGCAGTACCTCATGCTCTGCTTGAAGGTTCATGGTACTTACTAACCAATTATAACTGGGCTTATAACCCTACTTATAATTGGGATAACCCCTATAAGGCCCTTTAGGGGTATTATAAGTAGGGTTATAAGTACAGTTATAATTGGGTAGTAAGTACCATGAACCTTCAAGTGACCTGTCGGGTACAAACCCGCGAGCCTCCGAGATGTGCCTCCAAGCATTTCCCCCCGAATTCGAAGTTTGCCTTGCAATACACCAGTCTCCCTGCAAGGGTATGACCCTTTTGGAATCGAAGCTACCCTAAACCCTAAACCCTAAGCCCTAAACCCTAAACCCTAAGCCCTAAACCCTAAACCCACGATGCTTAGAGACGGCCGGGGCCCCAGACTCAGCCAGCAGCTAGCAACCATGTTGTACTACGGGTTCCTTTTTTGGGGTTGGCTACTTTATGAGGGGGTTTCCGACATTAGGAGAACTTTATTGGGCTCCTTTTCTACAAGGGAATCATCAAATTTGGGGGGTCCATAGTATGCCTCCCTTGTTTTCGTAAACCCCCAGTAAGGGAACCCGGAACCAAAAAGAGGGCAAAACCAAGCCTACGCTCTACGTTCGTCTTCGACAACCAATCGAAATAAGCCGGGAGCCGCAAAGGGTCTAGCGTTAGAGGTTTGGGGATTGAGGACTTAATTGTTTGGGGTTTATAGGGTTTAGGGTTTAAGAGCTTAAGGGTTTAAGGATTTAAGGGTAGAAGGATGAGGGTTACCCTAAACCCTAAACCCTTAAACCTTAAACCCTAATCCCCAACCTCCAGCTGCTCTCCGTCAGGGTCCGGGTGGTCATCCGAGAGCCACTGGTGCGAGATGAACATCGCACGACCCAGGCCTGGAGAGGTTGCAACCCTAAACCCCAAACCCTAAACCCTAAACCCTAAACCCTGAACCCTAAACCCTAACCGGGCTCTTGCTGAAGGAACTTTTCGACTAAGTTTCGAAGTGCCATGAAGGCCGGGGTGCAGAGCGCCAAAACACATAATGTAGCAGAATATAATCATAGCCGGGCGGGGGAATTATGGGTTTAGGGTTTAGGGTTTAGGGTTTGGGGTTTAGGGTTGTTCCTTGGCTTTTATTGGAAACCGAGGAGGCTTTTGGTGTTTCAAGGCCGCCTTTCCTCGAATTGGGTGTTCTTTCTTGCTGCATAGGCATGCTTGAGGACCCTCAATGCTGAGTATTGGCCAATCACTCAGGTTTCAGGGTTGACTGGCTGGAGTTTGATCGGATTGACGGCGGGGTATTTGTTTGCAGGAATTGCAGGGGGACGTGTTGCAGGTGCTGCACGCACGAGGCTCGAGGCATTAGTCTCTCCATGAAGGTCTCAGCCTATCACACATCATCATCTTATGTGCACCAAGCACAAAGGAGCATCTGAAATGTTCAGCCTTACTTACGAGCCGAGTAAGGGGTGGTTCGCAGGGCTGTTAGATAAGCAAAAGGAGCATCTACGGAGCCCCAAGTAGGCTTGGAAATACAGTAAAATACAGACTTGCAGACAGTCACAGGGAAAAGGGGGGGTGGTCTTGAAGCCAGCCCCTCGAATATTATGTGACATAATATGCGCTGTTTTTGGGGAAGGTGAACTTCTTGAGGGAACCTTGAACCCAAGAAAGGGTAAAGGGTACCACTGCACTACCAAGACTTCAAGCTCCACAACACGGGCCCAGGTTGTCAATGCAGCTTTCTGAAACAATGGGAGAATCTGTGGTCAGTTCGTCCGGTCCCTTTGCGGGAACCTGATAGCCCAGGGCCGGGGTACTCCTAAACATTAGACCCTAAACCCCAAACCCTAAACCCTTTTTTTGAACCAGGTGCAGGGACATATGCCCCCCTAAACTCTAGACCCTAAACCCTAAACCCTAAACCAGTATGAGCCCCTGTGTCAAATTGGGCCCTCTTGGGGGCTGGAGGTCGGTGGCCAGCAGCCTCTTCTTGTGCCGATGCCTCTAAAAAGTGTTTAGGGTTTAGGGTTCAGGGTTCAGGGTTGAGGGTTTAGGGTTTAGGGTTTAGGATTTAGGGTTTCGGGTTTAGGTTTTAGGGTTTAGGGTTTGGGGTTTAGGGTTTGGGGTTTAGGGTTTGGGGTTTAGGGTTTAGGGTTTAGGGTTTAGGGACCTGGGGCCTAAACCCTAAACCCTAAACCCGAAACCCGAAACCCTAAGCCTTGAACGCAACCCCCAACATGCCAACAGGGCATCCCAAGCAGGAGCCGGGTGGCTACTCCGGTATTTGATCAGGACCCCGGCGTCCAACAGCTCCTCGTGCCTCTACCGAACGGGGAACCCGCAGAAATCAGTATTTTTGTGCTGGGAAGTCGCACCAAAAAGTTTAAAGATTCCCAAGTATCCCCCAAGTTGCCTCCGGACCTTCTTCATCTGCAACAAGACATCCAGCGAAACCTGTGGTTTGCGCGTGGGCGTGCCCGCAATCCCTTCAACCTATGAGCCTCTTCGAGGTTTCGACATGACGTGGGCACCATCGCCACTATCTCTTGAAATGTGGAATCGCTGCCTGCACATTCGCTTTCAGATACTTGGAGGTTCGGAATACTCATAACCCCGATTCTTATAAGCCCCTTGAGTCCTCCACATAGGTTATAAGCAGACCTATAATGGCTAGAGGTATCCCAAGAACCTCCAAGTACCTTTGCTCCTGGTTCCATCAGCCGAGACACGGTATACATTGGAAACAGGAGCTCCGAATCATCAGCATCTTCGCTACTGATCACCTTAGTTGCGCTTCTGCACCTGAATGCTGTGCCCCTGATTCTCTCCGCTGCCCACAGGTCAAATCAAATAAGACGCCACTGTGAGAGGCAAACAAGCCCTAAGCTGGAGAGTTCATGCCACCTCTCCACCTGCGCCGAGTGGCGGAACGCGACTTCTGAACTGCTGCGAAACGGTTTAGGGGAGTGTCCGGCATGGCCAATTAAAACTGCACGAGTATGAACCTGGCGCACGAGCCAACATCCTAAGGAGCTTCTCAGCCTGAACAAGCTTACCTCCGCGCGGCCACGAACCGTCGCTAGACCCTAAACCCTAAACCCTAAACCCTGAACCCTCTAGTGTAACAACCAAAAATGCCCCTGCGAGCCGAAACATCCAGGCAAAGAATCCTGCAAAGCTGCACATGACAAGGCTGACAAGGCTGAGCTGAGGTCGCAACGCAGCCTATGATTACGGGGTAGGGTTTAGGGTTTAGGGTTTAGGGTTTAGGGTTTAGGGTTTAGGGTTTAGGGTTTAGGGTTTAGGGTTTAGGGTTTAGGGTTTAAGGTTTAGAGTTGAGGGTGTAGGGTTTAAGGCGAACAAAAGGCCCACAACAACCTGTTTTCATCTTCGAGTTCGCTGGCGACGTGACGAACATGGCTTTGCCGTGACATCGGGTGTGCTTTCAGTTGGGAAAATGCGAAAGCATGCTCACTTCTCACCGAAGAAGAAGTATGGGAGGAAATTTGCCACCTTGGCCAACAACGAAAAGATATACCCCAAAGACAAGCCAGGAGAAATGCTGCTAAGCCGAGCCACATATTCGTCGAACTCGTCCTCGGGCGGCAACAGCACGGACTGGTTGTCGAGCAGAAGGAGAAGCAGGTAGAACAAGAACAGCATAACGATGCCGAAAACCTGAGGTGTGCTGGAGGCTTGAGATCACTTGGCTGTGAGCATTGCATGCCTAGGCTCGAGAAGAAAGCAAGTATGGCAAAGCGCAGGTCAAGGAACCATCACGAGCACGGTGGGGATGCTGTCCTCCTTGGCCACGACACCCGCCTCGGCATTCAGCGGCTTCAGAAGGTCCGACAGGCCAGTGCGGATGCCGTAACCCTCGGGCAGAGGGTCACGCTCACCATAGGGTGCCGTCCTCTTTGCGTTGCCCACTGGGTAGTAGCCGGGCCTTTCAGCTGGCATCTCCATCTCCGAAGCTACAGCCACGGAGACCTCACGAGCCTGCGTGGCTGGCCCGTTCACGAAGTTGTGGCCACTCAGCGCCCACAGGCACATGCAGCCGAAGGCGACGACCCACACACCACGAGCCATGATCTGCAACGCCAGGACGATAGCGGGAGCTTGGGCGACGTCCCTCAAAAATGTCCCTTGCAAACCAGGTTGGCCGCAGACACAGCGAACATCCAAATCCTAGCGACTTTACTTCCGAATTCTTGAAAGGCTTGCTCACAACAAAGACCATGAACTAAGTTACACCAGTTGGCAATAGAAGACAACTTCCCATTCCCCTCTTAGAAGCTTCAACACTACTCGGATACCGGGAAGCGCGTCTTTTAATCGTCGAGTCCACTGGCGACGTGACGAACATGGCTTTGCCGTGACATCGGGTGTGCTTTCAGATGGGAAAATGCGAAAGCATGCTCACTTCTCACCGAAGAAGAAGTATGGGAGGAAATTTGCCACCTTGGCCAACAACGAAAAGATATACCCCCAAGACAAGCCAGGAGAAAACGCTGCTAAGCCGAGCCACGTATTCGTCGAACTCGTCCTCGGGCGGCAACAGCACGGACTGGTTGTCGAGCAGAAGGAGAAGCAGGTAGAACAAGAACAGCATAACGATGCCGAAAACCTGAGGTGTGCTGGAGGCTTGAGATCAATTGGCTGTGGTCATTGCATGCCTAGGCCTAGGCTCGAGAAAAAAGCAAGTATGGCAAAGCGCAGGTCAAGGAACCATCACGAGCACGGTGGGGATGCTGTCCTCCTTGGCCACGACGCCCGCCTCGGCATTCAGCGGCTTCAGAAGGTCCGACAGGCCAGTGCGGATGCCGTAACCCTCGGGCAGAGGGTCACGCTCACCATAGGGTGCCGTCCTCTTTGCGTTGCCCACTGGGTAGTAGCCGGGCCTTTCAGCTGGCATCTCCATCTCCGAAGCTACAGCCACGGAGACCTCACGAGCCTGCGTGGCTGGCCCGTTCACGAAGTTGTGGCCACTCAGCGCCCACAGGCACATGCAGCCGAAGGCGACGACCCACACACCACGAGCCATGATCTGCAACGCCAGGACGATAGCCGGAGCTTGGGCGACGTCCCTCAAAAATGTCCCTTGCAAACCAGGTTGGCCGCAGACACAGCGAACATCCAAATCCTAGTTCCCAATGTTTGACTGACATGTTCGCGACATGTGGGGAGGACCATGAAGTCAGTTACACCCGTTGGCCCGGGAAGACGCGTTGAACAACTTCCGATTACAGTACCGTCTCAGAAGCTTCGACACTACTCGAATACCGGGAAGCGCGTCTTTTTATCGTCGAGTCCACTGGCGACGTGACGAACATGGCTTTGCCGTGACATCGGGTGTGCTTTCAGATGGGAAAATGCGAAAGCATGCTCACTTCTCACCGAAGAAGAAGTATGGGAGGAAATTTGCCACCTTGGCCAACAACGAAAAAATTTACCACCAAGGCAAGCCAGGAGAAATGCTGCTAAGCCGAGCCACGTATTCGTCGAACTCGTCCTCGGGCGGCAACAGCACGGACTGGTTGTCGAGCAGAAGGAGAAGCAGGTAGAACAAGAACAGCATAACGATGCCGAAAACCTGAGGTGTGCTGGAGGCTTGAGATCAATTGGCTGTGGTCATTGCATGCCTAGGCCTAGGCTCGAGAAAAAAGCAAGTATGGCAAAGCGCAGGTCAAGGAACCATCACGAGCACGGTTGGGATGCTGTCCTCCTTGGCCACGACGCCCGCCTCGGCATTCAGCGGCTTCAGAAGGTCCGACAGGCCAGTGCGGATGCCGTAACCCTCGGGCAGAGGGTCACGCTCACCATAGGGTGCCGTCCTCTTTGCGTTGCCCACTGGGTAGTAGCCGGGCCTTTCAGCTGGCATCTCCATCTCCGAAGCTACAGCCACGGAGACCTCACGAGCCTGCGTGGCTGGCCCGTTCACGAAGTTGTGGCCACTCAGCGCCCACAGGCACATGCAGCCGAAGGCGACGACCCACACACCACGAGCCATGATCTGCAACGCCAGGACGATAGCGGGAGCTTGGGCGACGTCCCTCAAAAATGTCCCTTGCAAACCAAGTTGGCCGCAGATGCACCGAACATCCAAATCCTAGTTCCCAATGTTTGACTGACATGTTCACGACATGTGGGGAGGACCATGAAGTCAGATACACCCGTTGGCCCGGGAACAACTTCCGATTACCCCCTCAAAGCTTCAACACTACTCGAATCGCGGAAAGCGTGCTTTTTTTATCGTCGAGTCCACTGGCGACGTGACGAACATGGCTTTGCCGTGACATCGGGTGTGCTTTCAGATGGGAAAATGCGAAAGCATCCTCACTTCTCACCGAAGAAGAAGTATGGGAGGAAATTTGCCACCTTGGCCAACAACGAAAAAATTTACCCCCAAGGCAAGCCAGGAGAAATGCTGCTAAGCCGAGCCACGTATTCGTCGAACTCGTCCTCGGGCGGCAACAGCACGGACTGGTTGTCGAGCAGAAGGAGAAGCAGGTAGAACAAGAACAGCATAACGATGCCGAAAACCTGAGGTGTGCTGGAGGCTTGAGATCAATTGGCTGTGGTCATTGCATGCCTAGGCCTAGGCTCGAGAAAAAAGCAAGTATGGCAAAGCGCAGGTCAAGGAACCATCACGAGCACGGTGGGGATGCTGTCCTCCTTGGCCACGACGCCCGCCTCGGCATTCAGCGGCTTCAGAAGGTCCGACAGGCCAGTGCGGATGCCGTAACCCTCGGGCAGAGGGTCACGCTCACCATAGGGTGCCGTCCTCTTTGCGTTGCCCACTGGGTAGTAGCCGGGCCTTTCAGCTGGCATCTCCATCTCCGAAGCTACAGCCACGGAGACCTCACGAGCCTGCGTGGCTGGCCCGTTCACGAAGTTGTGGCCACTCAGCGCCCACAGGCACATGCAGCCGAAGGCGACGACCCACACACCACGAGCCATGATCTGCAACGCCAGGACGATAGCGGGAGCTTGGGCGACGTCCCTCAAAAATCCTTGAACACAATACAACGAGCAGCTGCGCATGATTGTGCAATCCTGAAGTGGGGTTTGTCCTCGCACCTCCTGACCTCTCAGCAGTTTCTGGGCAGGTAGGAACACTGTAAATCGACGCCCAGAAGCGACATCTTTGCCACCCGACGAGACAGGCTGTGTGCCATACCGATTTGAGGGTGGGGCTCATCGCTCACGCTCGGAGGCGAGGCACTTGCAGGCTTGTGGTGTAGCGCGGAACGCTTGGTGCAAGTCTGGTTGTCGCAACAAGTGATATCAAGTGATCACACCTGTGCCTTCGCGGCCCTTGAAAGTTGCACTGGGTGGCTGCAAGGCCACTGCCACCCTTTAAAATGTCGAGAGCTGACCAGGCGGCGTGGGCCCAACCAGTCCCTTTCGACCACAAACCCTAAGCCTAAATGGACAGCGCACGTTTCGCACAACGCTGCTCTTTGACTCAGCCTGCCACCCACACACCCCGAACGCCTCTAGGCCCAAAGTGAGCCCGAAACCTTGTGACCGCGTTTCCTAAGCTTCGGCCCCTACTTGAATTGAAAGCGCTTTATTGGCTTCGTAAGCAGGGTTCGCAAGGGTGGTGCTATGGGGATCATCAGAGGGTTTCTCGGGGATACTAAGTAGACTTACGAAGTCAAAACAGCCTCCAAGTACAGGCCTTCTGAGACCTCGAAACATTCTAAAAATCCTCTAGAGCCTGGGTTTTTAGGGGTGAGGGGTGAGGGGTGAGGGTCTAGCATCTATCTCTCCAAGCCCTGTAAGGCCCCATACACTCCTCTAAACCCTATCCGCCTCACAAGCCTTGGACAACCTCAACAATATACAAAACTACATCAACCCTGCCTCTTTAACCCTGTCGCCCTTAACATGGTACCTTTTGGGATGTTCCCCCTTATACTAACAGTCCTTAAAAGGGATTATAGTATCCCCCCCCCCTTTCAGAGGGGAACATCTGAAACCCTAAACCCTAAACCCTAAACCCCATTCTAGCACTACCTTGCAGTGTGGGCTCCGGCTTTCTTCGATCACATCGGGGGCTGTGGCTTGAGCCTCTGGCTGGGTGCGCTGCGCCGACTTGAGTGCCTCTTTTTTGGGGGTTCAGGGTTTAGGGTTTTAGGGTTTTAGGGTTTAGGGTTTAGGGTTTAGGGTTCAGGGTTTAGGGCTTAGGGACTAGGCCGTTTCGGGTTTCGAGGGTTCTTTGACACAGCATAGGATCGGGGCTTTGTGCCTTGGGTGCTTTGCACCCAAAACGCTTCCTCAAGCACCTCAACGTGGCACCAACCCTAAACCCTAAACCCTAAGCCCAAAACCCGTCAGGCTGAGCGTTGAAGCACGTCTGCCACCAGCTTGTGCACCTGCCGTGTCAAAGGTTTAGGGTTTAGGGTTTTAGGTTTTAGGGTTTTAGGGTTCTAGGGTTTTAAGGTGTAAGGGTTTAAAGGGGGTTCGATCGGCTGAGGGTCAGGGGGGCTGACGATCGAGTGAGTTTAGACTGCATGCCAAAGCCTCAAAACCTCACTTCTGCCATGATGTCAGCTTGTACGCAAAGCTCTAGGGCCTCGGGCCCCGGGCCCAGGGCCTCGGGCCTCGGGCCTCGGGCCTCGGGCCTACGGCCTAGGGCCCAGGGCCTAGGGCCTAGGGCCTAGGGCCTAGGGCCTAGGGCCTAGGGCCTAGGGCCTAGGGTTAGGTAGGGTTACTACGGAGTTGAAGCATTCTCAAACTGCAGTGTAAGGTTTCGGGTTTGACCCCCGAAACGGAGCCGGTTTGAAGGCTTCGGCGCTCCCACTCGAACGAAGAAGGCAAGAGCTTCCGCCCACAAGCCAAAGGTTTAGGGCTGAGGGTGTAAAAGGGGGTTAGGGGTGTAGGGTTTAGGGTTTTAGGGTTTTAGGTAGGGTTTAAAGGGGCTCAGGGTTAAGGGTGTCAGGGCTTACGGCTTCGTGTTTCAGGTGTGAGGTTCAGGGCCGGTTTCGGGCTTTGGGTTCCCCTAAGCCCTAAACCCCTAAACCCTTGAACCCCTAAGCCCCTAAACCCCTGAACCCCTTTTAGGCCCCTAAACCACATGTTGCATCTGGGCCCTAACCCCCTAAACCCTACAAAACCCTTAAGCCCCTAATATAGGGGCCCGAATAAGTAGAATGGAGTTTTGAGGGCTATCATAGCATAATTATACAGGGACCGGGCATACCTCTGTATTAGTTGCAATTCAGGCGTTTAGAGTTTCGTGTGAGGGCCTTTGGGTTTGGGGCTTTGGGTTCATGCGAAACCCCCCAAAATTTGGGGGCTCAACACCTAAACCCTTAAGTCCCTAAACCCTAGGCCCTAAACCCTAAACCCTAAACCCTAAACCCCTGTGCCATAAGCGCGGAGTCTCACCGAATGAGCTGGAGAAGCGGGGGCCCGGGCTGCTCAGGTCAAAGCTTAAGAGTTCAGGGTTCAGGGTTTAGGGTTTAGGGTTTAGGGTTTAGGGTTCCGGGTTCAGGGTTTAGGGTTTACGATTTAGGGTTGAGGGCATAGGGTCCGGGGGTTCGGGGCTTAAGGGGTCTAAGGAGCTCTACAGCAGATTCCCGAAGATGATCGTCTTAAAACCCCCATGGGGGGAAAACCTGGAGCATGCAAGACCCTACATGGGGTTTACAAAAATTGGCAGACCCCCAAATAGTAGGATCCCCCTTTATGATAAAGGACCCCAATAAGGAAACCCTAATATCGTCAACCCCCCGCATAGTAGTGGGCTCTCCCTAAACCCTAAACCCTAAACCCTAAACCCTAAACCCTAAACCCTAAACCCTAAACCCTGACCTGCTTCAAGGTGAGGCCGTCGGTCGACAGCATCTGGTGGATAGCATTCATGTTGGCTCCTCACCGAAAATCAAGGAACCAAGAAGGGACTCCGGTAAATAATGCATGATTCGCCACCGAAGAACTTAATTAACTGACCTCGGGCTTTGACTAGCTTTGCTCGTTGCTGCCCGCAACATTGTTCTCGAAAGCCCCGCGGGGCTGACAGTGACTTGGCGACAAAGGAGGGGCCCTTATCAGGGACCCTAGGGAGGTATCTACGGGCTCTTTAGGGGATACTTAGGTAGAAAGGGACTATATAAGGTACATATAAGGGTTATATATGGGAATAAGATTAAGGATCCCTTCTAGGCGTCCCTCCTTATGCCCCTTTTGTCATTGGCTGCAGGACTGCCGGAAGCGCCCCCATGGTCTTTGAAACCTACAGCCGAAAAGCACAGCAAGACCTGTTTTGAACCCGTGCTATGCTACTGTTCGAGACAGGAGCTGCGAGACCCAAAACCCTAAACCTTTCCTTAAGGCTAACCTTTTAACCTTGAAATAAAAAAAACCTTTTTGCATCTGGACTGCGGGAGATAACTTGCAGCGCTGCCCCTTAACACCCTAAACCGTAAGCCTCTTTTGCATCCGGACTTGGGTAGTCGGCTGGGGCCAAAAACCTTGAAACCCTAAACCCTATACCTTAAAGCCTAAACCTGAAAGAAACACCCTGAACCCTAAACCTTAAAAGCCTAAACCTTAAACTGGAACCCTAAACCTTAAACGCCTAAACCTTAAACCCCTAAACCCTAAACAACCTACAACCCCTCTTCATCCTTCCACCCTAAACCCTAAACCCTACAACCTAATCCCCAAACCCCAAACTGTGCATCTGCCCCTGCCTGGGATGTTCGCGCAGATTCCCTCCTTGGCGGCAGCACATTCAAGAAGCCTTAGGGGAGGGTTAAAGGGTTTAGGGTTTGGGGTTTGGGGTTTGGGGTTTAGGGTTTAGGGTTGGGGTTTAGGGCTTCGGGTCTATGGTTTAGGGTTTAGGGCACCTTTCTGTAGCACTGAAACCGAAATGAACCTAGATGAACTCCCGGATCCAGCGTTGGTTCGCCCGAGATCAACGCATCACCGAAGTGTCACGAAATCATCTCCTACCCTGGATGCCGCAGGGAATGAGGGCTAGACCCAACAGTACAGTAAGATCCCGCTTTCCTTCTTGCACCTTAAACCCTTTTTTTGAACCCAGACTCTGAACGTCAGCTGGCACGATGACAATTGCATCGACTTACTTCCAAGCACCTTAAACCCTAAACCCGAAACCCTTCGTTCCACAAACCCTTAAAAAAAAACACCTGTCACGACACCAAAAACCTGAAGGCGCTAAAAGCCCGAAAGCCGAGGAACGGCTTGGGGTTTAGATTTTTGGGGTCTAGGGTTCAGGGCCTAGCCCGCACAGCATCCAGGGCAGGAGGTCATGGCCCTTATTTCTCATGACTGCACCTATAACTGTTCTAAAGCGCCATATTGGGGCACTTAGGGGGCTTACAAGTGGGTTGTAAGTACAGCGACAATTTGTTCATAAGCACGCTTTCTTCCCCGAAACCCTAAACCCTAAACCCTAGACCCTAAACTCTAAACCCTAAACCCGAATGGGCGCTGAGTTGCGAAGGTGCCGCGAAACTCGGCCAACTCTTGCCCCTCCAGCCTGCCACTTCCGTCCTGTGGGGGGGGGGCAAAGGAAAGCAAGCCTTACCAGACAGCCGGGTCTAGGGCTTAGGGTTTAGGGTGTAGGGTTTAGGGTTTAGGGTTCAGGGTGTAGGGTTTAGGGTTTAGGGTTTCTCTTCCCAAAGAGCCCGAAAAAACTTTTGATCAAGGCACAGACCTTAAATTGTATAGGGATCCTAATATGAGTTACAGCGCATTCCTTCTTTAAGGGGCGTTGGGCTCTTTGCGTATATGGGTACTTATAAACAAGGCAGGCCCGATTCGGATGAACATCCTCACGTGGGTTTAGGGTTTAGGGTTTAGGGTTTAGGGTTTAAAGGGTTTAGGGTTTCAGGTTTAGGGCTTAGGGCTTAGGGCTTTATAGGCGGACGGTGAAGGGATTCGGCACCCCTTCTATGGACGCCTCATCGGCCCGCGAGAAGAGCTCCAGGGTGACGCTGACCTTGAGTAGGGTTTAGGGTTCAGGGTTCAGGGTTCAGGGTTTCGGGTTTAGGGTTTAGGGTTAAGAGTTAAGGGTTTAGGGTTAAGAGTTAAGGGTTTAGGGTTTAAGGATGGTTGAGTTGAGGTTCTACGGTTCAGGAGACATGGCAGTTGGGCGCATCTTTTTGGGGGCTGTATCCGGGATACACCCTGCGCCTTCTCAGTCCCCTCACGAGGTGTCGTTCGGCTGAAAGCAACCAGAAGGCGTGTGTTCTCAGGTCCCCGCATCCGAGATGCGGCCGAAGTGCGTCATACGGCTTTGCTGTTTGTTTGGCAAAAAAAAACCCCGAACCATCCTGGATCCAACCCCCCCGAACAAAAAAAGACAAAATGATCAGGATCCCGATGGTGACAACAAGACTTTACGAACAGCAATAAGCCCGACAACTCCCCTCCCTAGACCCTTTCTAACCCAGGGCTTCCCCCTGAGAAGCAAAAAAGAGAAGCAACGTGACATAGTTATTCAGTTAGCCGACGAACAAGCGCATCGTACTGAGGCTCCTCCACGACCTCAAAGAGCCCCCTAGGCCCTAGACCCTCAACTATGCACAAAACCCGCTTGGGGATCGTACTATTGTGTCTTTGGTTTGCGGCTTGTTCTTGGGGTCATTCTTGTATGAGCCCCAACCCTAAGCCCCAAGCCCTAAGCCCTGGAACGCTGAACCCTTGCGAGTCAGGGTCAAAGGGCCCGAGCCCAAGACCCTCGTAAAGCATCCTAAATCCCGAAATTTCGAGAAATGAGGCTTGAACCCCGAAACCCTAAACCCTAAACCCTAAACCCTAAACTTCGAGAAATGAGGCTTGAACCAGATGCGTCTTTGAGTGTGAGGACTCCTTCTTGGCCAGCTGCTGTGCACCTGGAAGACCGGAGATTCGGGCATGCAGCCAGCAGTTCAGGGTTAGGGTTTAGGGTTTAGGGTTTAGGGTTTAGGGTTTAGGGTTTAGGGTTTAGGGTTTAGGGTTTAGGGTGTAGGGTGTAGGGTGTAGGGTGTAGGGTGTAGGGTGTGGGGTGTAGGGCTTCGGGATTCGAACCCAATCTAGACACCTCTGGGTCCATCCAAAAAGCAGACCCGAGAAAATCGCGGGCGTAGCTTTCCATACCCCTGTGAACCGGGCCGAACAATAACCCTTATATGTGTGTATGAATGCATGTATGTATGTATGTGTCGGTACTTAAAAACTTAACTTCTGTTCTGCCCTAAACCCTAAACCCTAAACCCTAAACCCTAAATAGCAACGATAGAGCATTCCACAAGCATCAGCCGTGGAGCAGGACCCAATGCCCAAAAGGCGAGCGATTGATTGCAGTTAGACACGGAGCTTGCAGCACGAGTTGGGTGTTCACGAACATAAAAGGATTCCCTTATAATAAGTGCCGCGAGAAAGCGCACGGGAGCGCGGCGCGAGCACGATGTCGACGACGCCAACGAAGAACACTTTCGGGTTTAGGGTTTAGAGTTTAGGGTTTAGGGCTTAGGGCTTAGGGCTTAGGGCGTAGGGCTTAGGGCTTAGGGCTTAGGGCTTAGGGCTTAGGGCTTAGGGAAGGCGATAACAAGGTTTAGGGTTTAGGGTTTCGGGCTTAGGGAGAGCGATTTTGACCCAAAACGGGTGTCGCGCCTGCACGAGAGACGGCGGCAGTCCGGGTGGGCACAGCAACCTAACATCACCTAGCCCTCCTTAACGTCAATGTTGGAACCCCAACGTGTTGACACGGTAATGAAGAAAATCCACACACATACATATACTCTTTCCTTTTGGCTTACGATCCCCTCCAAAAGTGGGCAGTTCTCCAGATTAAGGTCCCTTTTTGGGTACCCTACATAGTACAGCACTAATTACCCGAAGCCTCAACCCTAAACCCTAAACCCTGTATTGGGCAAGTGGAGTTCACAGAGGGCCTGTCAGGAAAGGTCAGAGAGTCAAGGCGAAACAATCATGATTGCAGAGGGCCGAGTCGCGCTTGGCGTTCCCACCGAACTTGTTGTGCAAGTTCTCTAAGCCTCACCACTTAAGAGTAGTTCAGGGCCTATCTCATTAGAATGGGCTTTTGGGGGCATGGGGAGGGCCTACGGTGCAACGGAGCAGCTTGTATGACAATTGAACGTTATGTTGCGCTTGTTTATTTCGGCTCCCTGAGTATGAGTCTGAACTCTGGAGGCTTCATGCTTGCCTGGTCTTCAGAGCCAGCTTCGGGCGCGACTTGCGGAAGGGCGCAGATAAGATTTGGGGTTTGGGGTTTGGGGTTTGGGGTTTGGGGCTTAGGGTTTAGGGTTTAGGGTTTCGGGTTTGGGGTTTAGGGTTTAGGGTTTGGAGTTTAAGATATGTGCAATGCGTCAGCATGCTCAGCCAACACAAAAGTCGACGGGTGCGCCTTTCTGGATGGAGCGAAGGCGAGTAACTTCACCTGGAGGCATGTGCCCTCAGTATCTCCGTAACGATTTTTGCCTTCCGCGCGCAATGTGAAGCGTAAACCCTAAACCCTAAACCCTAAAGGAAGGATGATCTGAACAGCACACGGGTTTCGAGGCATCTGAGACTCAAGTCGCCAATGTCCGCTTAGTCTACTCATAACTTTTGAGCTTTGCAAAACGTCCCAAAGCCATCAAACCCATCTGTACTTGGAGGTTCATGGCACTTACTACTTATCGCCCCTTTAAGTGCCTTAGTATGGTTATAAGTACAGTGATACGTACAGATTGGGGTAACAAGTACCATGAACCTCCCCAAGTAACCCCCGACTGAATGGACCTCGACTGGGACGAGGACGACTTGGGGCTGGCTTCAACTTTTTGTGGTTCCGGACAATCATCTAGTAGTAGGGTTTAGGGTTTAGGGTTTAGGGTTTCAGGTTTAGGGTTTAGGGTCTAGGGTTTAGGGTTTAGGGTTTAGGGTTTAGGGTTTAGGGTTTAGGGTTTGGGGTTTGGGGTTTGGGGTTTGGGGTTTAGGGTTTCGGGCCTGGGGCTCCAGGATGCGATCAACATGTTTAGGGTTTAGGGTTTAGGGGTTTAGGGTTTAGGGTTTAGGGTTTAGGGTTTAGGGTTTAGGGGTTTAGGGTTTAGGGTTTAGTGGACCTTTTTCGGGTGCCATGGTGCCTGCCATGGTGCCTGAACCGCGGACCCTGACTTTCCGACGCCAGAACCCAACTGCTCTTGAAACCGCTGACAGAGGTTGCTTTCAATGGTCCCTTATCATCCTAGAGGGGTTTCTAGGTGCACAATAAAGCACGCGGTTGTTTATGTGAATGGGAAACTTCTTGGCTTGTTTACTGCACAAAAATCACCACTTGCTGCTAACAACGACCCTAAACCCTAAACCCTAAACCCTATACCCTAAACCCTAAACCCTAAACCCTAAACCCTAAACCCTAAACCCTAAACCCTAAACAAACACGAGAACGGTCTGGAAATCGGGGATTTGTGCTACGGGCGCCTTCTAACCTACACACAGCGTCTCCTCCGCAGAAGGCTTCGAAAGAGAGCCCCCAGTATGTTTAGGGTTTTTAAGGTATACGGCTTCGAGTTTCGAGTTTAGGGTTTTGGGTATACATATACATATGTATATACGATGCCACCTGTAAACCCTAAACCCTAAACCCTAAACCCTAAACCCTTAACCCTTAAACCCTTGCCTCTGGAACCCTTTGTTGGGACGGGCACGATAATATGATTCAAGTTCCATTCTTTAGATTAAGGGTTTAGGGTTTGGGGTTTAGGGTTTAGGGTTTAGGGTTTAGGGCTTAGGGTTGCCCACCAAAACGACCTGCGGGCGTGCCTGTCAGCTCCTCCACAGCGTTGGAAAGCTTCGTGTTCTCCTCTGGCGGCTGGGTAAGGTTTAGGGCTTAGGGTTTAAGGAACAACTTGCAAGACCTGCTGCCTGCTGCGGTAGGGCTCAGGGTCCTTTACCTATGCAAGTGGCCAAGTCAAGATGTTAGGATTGGTGCGCGCAATGCTGCCTGAGAGATAAAAAGGAACAAGCGTTGCATCAAGTGATTGCTGGGACCTGTCCAGATGGTTGTTCCCTTTCAGGCAGAAACTACAGAAAAGTAGCCCTATTTCCAACACAGCTTCCTTTAGGATTTAGGGTTTAGGGTTAAGGGTTTAGTGTTTAGGGTTTATATAGGGTTTAGGGTTTATGGCGCGCTATCTACGTTCCTCTCCTCCTTGTAAATGCCCACTTCCTTGCGAAGCCGCTTCGCAATGACGAGCAGCTGGCCCTGAAGCGCCTGCACCATGGTCCACCGAAAGTCTGGGTTGGGTTTATCCGAAACCTTAAGCCCTAAACCCTAAACCCTAAGATTTTGGGTTGTGGCTACGCCCTCTGTTCAGGAGGCTGTGGTCTTGGCTTGAGGGTTGAGGGCTTTTCAGGCCTGAGATTCGTGCTACTACTGCCCCAAGCCTTGCGGTTCGTGCTCCCTGCCTCAAGAGTTGCTAACCCTAAACCCTATACCCTATACCCTAAACCCCAAACCCCAAACCCTAAACCCTGAACCCTAAACCCTCGGGGGTGCCCTAGACGTAAGGCTCTCTATCAGAACAGGGTCCCCAAAAGTGACCAGAATCGAGGGAGAGAGAGAGAGAGACAGAGAGAGAGAGAGACAGAGACGGAGACGGAGACCTGGACGGAGACGGAGACGGAGACAGAGCGAGAGACAGAGCCCTAAACCCTTGCTGGAAGGTTCGTTGAACCGCTGCTTGTGTCATGCATGGACTTGCAGCCCCATGCCGCCAGCCCTCAATAAGGCCTAGGGGGTTTGCCTTTTTATGGTTTACTACTATTTGCTTAAGAACCCCAAAAGAACAAAAAGTAATACTCCCTGTACTACCCTTAACAAAGTAAATAAATAAAAATGAATAAATATATATATATATATATATTTGTTAATATTTTTCGAGGTTCTCAAGCAATTAGTGATTTAGGGCTTGGGGTTTAGGGTTTAGGGCTTGGGGTTTAGCATTTAGCGTTCAGGGTTCATGGCTTGGGGTTTAGCATTTAGGGTTTAGGGTTCAAAAAGGGGGGGTTCAACAGTCCCAGACATTAACGCCCCTTGGCAGCCCGAAGAAACTGGGGGCAAATTGGCCGAGCGGCCAGTCCCCCCCCAAGGATGAGTAGCAGAATGGCGATCGTGGACGCAAAGAAGTTCAGGGAGAGCACGTCCCTGGTCAGGGTTTAGGGTTTAGGGTTTGGGGGTTAGGGTTTAGGGTTTAGGGTTTAGGGTTTAGGGTGTAGGGTGTCGGGTTTAGGGTTAGAGTTTAGAGTTTATGGCGCAGTGCCGGCTCAATTGAGAAGAATGCCGGGCCAGCTTCAGAGATCTTGGATTTCGTATTCTGGCATAAGAGACGTACAGGTTGTCAATTGTCAAAACGGTCAAGACTTAGTTTCTCTTACTAAGGAACTTCGGAAGCAGTTCCCTATATGACCCACCTACCGCAATTTCCTACTTTTTTCCTGAGAACTAGTCAGGCGATCGTCCGCCTCAGGCACGCGCATAGCTGTTGAGGCTTCTGTGGAACAAGCCCGCAAGCAATCAGTACTCAGACTTGGCTGTTTAAGTCGAGGGTTGAGGGCTTAGGGTGTTGTAGGGTTGTTAATACGAGTACCCAAGAAGGACACAGCCTACTTCTGATCGCCAATTTCTAGAAGGAACCACACTCACCAAAGCCTTCATATGAACCCCACTTCGTAGGTTCCTTTGAGTTGAAATATGATGTAGATCCACCCGCACCCTGAGCTTCTGGGCCTTCGCCTTACGGAACTTTGTTAAGTTACCATGACCTGGACACATCGTGCATAGGAGAAATTGCATACACGACTTCCTTGACGAAGGTAACGTGAAGCGGAAGTTCCCAGAATGTGGATGGACAGTACATCCTATAGTTTCCTTACTAATGCAACTTCAACCAAGTTCCTTGAACGCGCGCTAACTTAAGGGGTCCATACACCCATGTCTATACTTGGACCTTAAAAGTGTTCCGATGTGGTTGGCTTTAGCCCCGAGAATATACTATATCGGTGCATGGATCCTTAGATGCTAGGAGACAAGAGCTTTCCAGGTTTTTGGGTTCAGGGCTTGGGCCTTGGGGTTCTCAAGTGTGAGGAGCGAGGGAGGAGGGGGGGTGGGGAGGGGTGGCATCCACAAGTGCACATGCACAGGTCCTATCGCTCGTTTGACATCACACCGCGCCAGCAGAAACAGAACACGGCCAGCAGCAGCAGCAATATGGCCTGAGGGAGCGCGCGCGCCTAGACACATTGCAAACGATAGATCGCCTAAACTAAACACGCCTACTCCACAAACATAAATATAACTAACATATCAGGACCCACTGGTTGCTGGATCCAATACAGAGGAGCGCCAGGAAGAATCTCACAGCTCGATGGGTGGTGCCGGCACGAGGCTTGAGGGTTTAAAAGGTTAAGGGTTTGGGGTTTAGGGCTTCAGGTACTTGCGACAACGCCATTGCCACAAATGGTGCCATCTAAACCCCGACGGCCACCATCGCACGGTGTAACAACAAAGAACCCTGAGCCCATAAAACCTAAACCCTAAAACCCTCGACCCGACAACCCCTCAACAAGGGATTTTCACCTCCAGCCCTAAACCCCAAGCTCTAAACCCTTAAGGGGCATAAGGAGGGACCCTTAGAAGGCACCCCTAATCTTACTCCCCCATACAACCCCTATGTATACCTTATACACTCCCTATAGACCTAAGTAGCCCCTGAATAATCCCCTAAATAACCCCTAAGGTCCCTTACAAGGGTCCCTCCTTTAGTCCCTTGAACCTCCAAGTAGGGTTTAGGGTTTAGGGTCTAGGGTTTAGGGTTTAGGGTTTAGGGTTTAGGGTTTAGGGTTTAGGGTTTAGGGTTTAGGGTTTAGGGTTTAGGGTTTAGGGTTTAGGGTTTAGGGTTTAGGGTTTTGGGTTGATTGGGGGACCACCTGACTTTCATCCCAAGAATCCAGGAGGTGGAGGCGGCCCCAGATCTTCAGCGGGCCAATCGTCAGCCAAGGTTTCATGGCATAGTCCTCTTCCGTACCTCGGGCTATACCCCTAGGGTTTAGGGTTTAGGGTTTAGGGTCTAGGGTTGCGGGATACCCCTAGGGATTAGGGTTTAGGGTTCAGGGTTTAAGGTTTAGGGGCTCCCCTACCACCCCTCCTCCATACTACCCCCCCTCTATGTTCCCCCATGATTAAGGCCATTCAGGGGTATCTAAGCCTAATGAGGGCTTTCAAGGGGGGGTGGAACCTAGAAAAAGTATAGTATGTCTCTATTATTTTTGGGGCCTTAAAGAATTAGAATAGGGTTTGGGGGGTTATTGTAGTACAATCATAAACGGACCCCCAGGGAAGGGCTACACTTGGTTCATGGTCCGTTATAACTGTACTTATAACCCACGTGTAAGCCCCCCAAGTGCCCCAACATAGTTATCATTGGGTTCTACATGAACCTCCGAGTCGGGACAATTCAGGGGTTTTGGATCTCGTGTTTGGGGCTTTGGGTTTGGGGTCTTGGGTTCACCCTGAAGCCCTAGAGATTCGGGGGCTTCGGCGTTGAGCAAGCCCGTCTCCTCCCCCCGCACGCCACATGCTAGATTGGGATGTTTCATCTTCGGAGGAAGGGATCGCAGGCGCGGTTACATGTCAAGGCAAGTTAGGGGGGGGGGGGGGGCTAAGGGAGTAGGGTTCAGGTTCAGGGTTTACGGCCTACGAAAAGTGTCAAACCTCCAGCCCGCCTCATTTTCCGAAGTTACCCCTAAAACCTCCACCCGAAACCCTAAACCCTAATGAACAGTCCCCCCTCATGCCCGAGCAAGGGCGGCAGTTTAGAGAGGACCAAGAGAAACCCTAAGCTTAGGTTTTATGGTACTTGCTAACCAACAATATTTGTACTTATAACCCATTTATAAGCCCCTTAAGTGCCTTATTATGGTGAAAAAGTACAGCTACGTACAGTTATAATTGGTTAAGAAGTACCATGAACCTCCAAGTAAGCTTAGGTTTTGGAGGGTCATTCCCCCTTAAGCCCACCCTAAATCTCTAAGGTTTTGGGTTTTGGGTTTAGGGCCTAAACCCTAAACCCAAACCCTAAACTCTGAGTCTGGGGCACCATAAATACTGTCAGCTATGGCTTCGTGCCTTCAACTTTTCGGGGCTTAGGCTTCAGAAACTACCCTAAGCCCGAGACCCTAAACTCTTTAAGTTCTTCTTGAGAACCCAGGGCTAGGTCATGACAAGTCGATGCAAGGTGAGCACGGGCATAAGTATTCGGGGCACGCAAGCCTCCCATCCCTATCCACGCTCACCAAAGTCCTTCACACTACGTAACTCTATTTCACTTTATTCCCGGCGCTGTCTTCGCTCCCACTCTCCAGGTCCGTTTTGCGCGAGTCCTGCCGCCAATGAGGGCGAGAAACTCAAGGTACGAGGCCTCTGCCTGCCTGTTTTTCCTGCTATATGCACCCATACAAGCACACTGAACAGGATCCTCATTGGGGTCATCCTACTGAATATCCGTACTTCATGCCTACCTACTAAATCCCCCGATCCTCCAAGTGCTTTCGACATGACAAGTCCACAGCTGAAGAGAACAGGGAAGTTGCAACACACTTTGCTTGGGTCAGGGGCTTACGGCATAGAGACTTTGGAAGGTTTTCGGGCTATAGTTTCTTCGACTCGCCTGGCAAAGGCCCGCAAGGACCTGCTAAGACTGAGAGACCCAAACTGAGTGATTTCAGAAACCTGCCACACACCCACAAGAAGTGTCTGGACAGACTCGCTCCCACTATTTTAAGTGGCTTGGAGTGCGTGAGTGCGTGGAGCTATCGGAGCAACCAACCCCAAGAAGGACAAGGATCTCCACCTCCCCGGAACACCCCCCACACCACCCGAAAACCCACAAATCGTCACACCAGGGTGGCGTTCCCTAATGTGATCCCTAATGTGACTCCTAAACCCTAAACCCTAAAGCCTAAACCCTAAACCCTAAACCCTAGACCCTCTCCCGCCTGCGGCACCTCACAGCACGGGTGAGGAGCGGGTTCGGGAAGAGCCGAGACGATGAAGTCAGGCTCCCTGCGTAGAGTTGAAGTTTAGGGTTAGGGGTTTAGGGGTTTAGGGGTTTAGGGGTTTAGGGGTTTAGGGGTTTAGGGGTTTAGGGGTTTAGGGGTTTAGGGGTTTAGGGGTTTAGGGGGTTAGGGGTTTAGGGGTTTAGGGGTTTAGGGGTTAGGGGTTTAGGGGTTTAGGGGTTTAGGGGTTTAGGGGGGGTTTAGGGGTTTAGGGGTTTAGGGGTTTAGGGGTTTAGGGGTTTTTAGGGTTTAGGGGTTTAGGGGTTTAGGGGTTTAGGGGTTAGGGGTTTAGGGGTTTAGGGGTTTAGGGGTTTAGGGGTTTAGGGGTTTAGGGGTTTAGGGGTTTAGGGGTTTAGGGGTTTAGGGTTTAGGGTTTAGGGTTCAGGGTCTAGGGTTTAGGGTTTAGGGTTTAAGGGTTAGGGTTTCGGGCTTAGGGTTTGGGGTTTAGGGCTTGGGGTTTGGAGCTTGGGGCCTGGGGTTTAACGAGGGTTTGGGGTCGAGGGTTACGAAGGTCTTTTTCTCAACCTCGAGCCTCAAACTGCCACGTCTGCTCTGTCATTGCCAACTTATCTCTAAACCCAAAACCCTAAACCCTAAACGCCAAACCCCAAATGCTTTCCGGGTAACTAGCACTTTGGAGGTTCATGGTACTTGTAACCCCTGCTATAAATCTACTTGTAACCTACTTAGAGGACGTAAGGGGCCTTAAGTAGTAGGGTTTAGGGTTTGGGGTTTGGGGGTTAAGGCTTAAGATTTAGCACAATTATAACTGGGATTATGAGTACTCTGAACCTTGAAGCATAGGGTCTCAAGTGCTACAGCCTTTCGGACGGGGAAGAGGGCGGGGGCCTCTTCAATTGGAACGGGATGTCGCCATTGCCTAGGCTCCTGCGTTGCATCTGCAACGCTTGGCCCCTAAACCCTAAACCCTCAACCCTCAACCCTCAACCCTCAACCCTAAACCCTAAACCCTAGATCGCTGCTCAGGCGCACATTGCACATGGAATCCAGGATGCGGCGGCACTTCGGCGCGTCCTCCTGGACCACGGCACCTCTTCCGGCCCCCCCAAAAAAGGGTTTAGGATGTAGGGGTTTAGGGGTTTGGGGGTTAGGGGTTTAGGGTTTAGGGTTTAGGGTTTGGGTTTAGGGTTTAGGGCTTCGGGTTACGGCAAATTATACTCGGATACCTGATGCACATGAGGGAATCGTCACTGATGAGGGGATATGTTGGAGTCTCAGATCAAGACGTGGGCGGTTTGAGAGGCCCGAAAAAAAAAGAAACGCAAACCCTAAACCCTAAACCCTAAACCCTAAACCCTAAACCCTAAACCCTAAACCCTAAACCCTTGACGAAGAAGGTTCCCGCCACGCCACGGAGGAGGTTGGAGAACATCTTGAAGGTGAGATCGCCCTGCATGTTCTCCACTGCATCCTGGAAGCCGGGGGTTTAGGGTTTAGGGTTTAGGGTTTAGGGTTTAGGGTTTAGGGTTTAGGGTTTAGGGTTTAGGGTTTAGGGTGTAGGGTTTAGGGTTTAGGGCTTAGGGTTTAGGGTTTAGGGTTTCAAGAGTGGCGCGTCTAGTGCAGGGCACCCTGTCAACCTTCCAAAGCCCGCCTCCGGATAGTCCGGGACCAAGTCCCACAGCTGCGTGAAGCCCAGTAGGAAGTGTTCTGCCTCCTGGTCTTATAGGGTCCCTAGGGGGGGACTAGGGAACCTTCGGATATATGGTTCAGCGTCGGGCGTTCCCGCCCCCCCCCCCCCCCATGGTATCCCATCCCCCCCCCCCCCCAAGTCTACTCTACGGTCCCTTTTCCCTAAACCCTAAACCCTAACCTAAACCCTAAAACCAACCCCCAACCACACCACAGGGGGGGGGGGGGTATCATCTTAGTACCCATCCGGGGCGGGGGGGGGGCCGCCGGGGCTGAACCAGAAATGGTCCGGCGTCTGGCGTGTCCCCGCCCCCCCCCCCCCCCCATGGTATGGTCAGGTAGGGGGGGGGGGGGGGGGCCGACCCTCGCCAAAACCCGTGTTTTGAGTGTTGTGTTCGGTTGACGGAGCGCGCCCTCGGGGAAACCCATGTGTGTGAGGCGTTTACCCCCCCCCCCTTCCCCCTCCAGGTCTACCGTCTCTAACCCTAAACCCTGTCAAACCCTAAGCCCTAAACCAACCCTAAACCCTAAACCCTAAAACCAACCCCCAACCACACCACAGGGGGGGGGGGGTTAACCCTAAAACCTTTCAAACCCTAAACCCTAAACCAAAAACCCTAAACCTAAAACCCTAAACCCTAAACCCAAACCCTAAACCCTAAACCCTAAACCCTAAACCCTAAACCCTAAACCCAAACCCTAAACCCTAAAACCCTAAACCCTAAACCCTAAATCCTGACCCTAAACCCTAAACCCTAACCCTAAAACCAACCCCCAACCACACCACAGGGGGGGGGGGGGGCTCCAGACCATGGGTGGGGGGGGGGGGGGGGGGGCCGGGGAGCACTGGACCATATATGCCTCCTCCCTCCCTCCCTTCAGAACCTTATAATGGTCTCGTGGTGCAAGGAGTGAGGTGCTCCGAGTCCATAGACGAACCGGGAATTGCGGCTGTGGGCTTCAGGGTGCCATGGGTGGTACTTATAACCGAGTGAAACTGTACTTAACATGGTTAGAACTGGGTTATAAGTACAGCTATAATTGGGTTAATAAGTACCATCCAAGTAGGGCTTCCAGGATCGTCCTCCGGCTGCAAGAAGCCACTTCTATCCATGTCCGCGTGCAAGAACAGACTGAGAGAGGATACCACTGCCTGCCAGTCCCTACGACAACGGCCTGACTACAACCCTAAACCCTAAACCCTAAACCCTTCGGCTCGAAAGCCCATACATCGATGCCGCAGAACCCAGAGCACTCCTGAATGAAGATAGACCTAAGTCAGAATAAGGGATCCTTCATATGATTTAAGCAATATTCCTTAGTTGAGGGTATTGGGCTCTTCGGTTTAGGGTTGAGGGTTTAGGGTTTAGGGTCTATAAAGGAGGGGAGGGAGGGGGGATGCCTACTTCTGAGGGGAAATTGGGCATACCCTTCTTTTTTTTGGGGGGGAATGCTTCCGCACCACTGTCAATGCGTGAAGGCCCATGGGAAGTTGTAAGCACACAGCATTCTCAGACCGGTACGGATGGAATCCCAAAAAAACCAAGGAAAATACCTCCAACTACAGGACGCTGATTATTTTGAGCACATGCCCTAATGCAGGGCGTTGGGCTTCTGGACTTCTGGGCAACCGATGCGCACACTGCCAAGGCTTGGATCGACCACTCTGAGACTCCGCATGCAATCACAGGCAACGACAGAGGACAAGGCAGAAACTGACCGAATAGCCACAGGCCTGGCAAGGCGCACATAGGAAACACGAGACCGCGACGCCCTAACCCCAAACCAAGAACCGTGACACCTTCAGCCCTATACTCCCCTAGAACCTTAGTAGAAGTATGATTTCTAATATTCCCTCGGGTTTTATATACAAAAAAATGTATACCCTAAACCCTAAACCTTTCTTTGCCACTGGACTCGAAGTCGAAACGGAACCCTAAACTCTAAACCCTAAACCCTAAACCCTAAACCCTACCCTAAACCCTAAACCCTAAACCCCAACTAAGAGGGGCGAAAGAGCCCAACCCTGAGCCTGCACCCGGCTGTGATGTTCCAGGTCCCGCAGCAGCTCAAGGGCCGACTCCGCATCACTCTCCAGTTGCTGGTGCACCTCGTTTAGGGTTTAGAGTTTAGGGTTGAGGTTTTGGGGTTTAGGGTCTGGGGTTTAGGGTTTAGGGTTTGGGGTTTGGGGTTTGGGGTTCGGGGTTTAGGCTTTAGGCTTTAGGGTTTAGGGTTTGGAGTTTAGGGCTTAGGGTTTGGGGTTTACGGTTGTGTTCTTCTCAACTGCCCTAGCTCCGCTTTTTCAGGTGCGTGGCGAAGATCCCTGCCCAGCGGCGACAACCTAACGATGAAGTGCTCCATTTCAGGACCGCCGCTGGACTCGGGTTTCGGGTTTCGGGTTTAGGGTTTAGGGTTTAGGGCTTAGGGTTTAGGGTTTAAGGTTTGGGGTTTAGGGTTTAGGGTTCACCCCTCATGAACAGCTCCTCCATACCCCTTCTCCATCTCCACTGGACGTTCCGACTTTCCAACCCACTCTCCAGCGATCGCACCAAGGTGCCCACCAAGGCCCGCAAGTCATGGCCCCGACGGCCATCAATTCATGCTCGGGCTGGGTGCGCTCAAAGATCTCTGGGCCACCTCCCGGCTGAGCCGAGTTTCCGCTTAGCGCCAGAACTCCCCTTCCTCCTGGATCACCAGAAGCTCCAGTCCCACCATCTCGCCGCGCACGAAAGATGCAGCAGGAGGAACTCCACCGCACAACGAAAGACGATCCTCATCGGGGACTTCCCCCAACGGAGATCCGGTGCATTGGCCTGAGTTGCTGACGAGCCCATTCCTCCTCCACCATCATTGATGATATCTTACGAATTATTATTCACCCAATTCCGTCTCCCTCTGTAACTCCTTCATCAGCTCCACCTTCCCTTGCACAAGGCTCGAATCCTCATCGCCCGAGTCACAGTCGAGGGCTCCTTACTGGCTCCACTGGGCTATGGTGGAGGTTTCCTTCGCGCACACGCCCAGAGGGCCTCCTCAAAAGCAAGCTTCAGCTGGGTTTTTCAGCCCACAAACCTGGTGTGCCATCGGCACCTCCCGCTTGAGCAGCTTAGGGTTGAGGCCCCGAGGTCTTGTGAAGTTGCGGTGCACATTGATCTGGCTTCTGCTACAATGTCATTGTGCGTGCTCGAACTTATTGTCCACGGACTTACATGCTTGAAGGTTCATGGTACTTACTAACCAATTATAACTGTACTTATAACCCTACTTATAATACCCCTAAAGGGCCTTATAGGGGTTATCCCAATTATAAGTAGGGTTATAAGCCGAGTTATAATTGGTTAGTAAGTACCATGAACCTGCAAGCAGGGTACGCAGCCTGCGAAATTGTCTGGAGCTGCGCAGCTTGGTGGAGCACGCTTACACCCGCCATGGACTACGAGTCTGTTTCTTGGAGCTTGGAGCATCAAGGAACTCAGTCTGTCGGCATTAAGTGGAGTAGTTAAGTCTTGCCAACCCCAAATAGCGTCTGCTGCAGGGTGCTTGTAACTCTACTCTGCACCTAACTGTACCGAGCCTGCACACAGGGCTCACCCAAAACGTTCAGCCCTTCAAGCTTCAACACTCCAAACACTCCTTTCGAAGCTGAGCCATGACCAAACAGCCCCCCAAATGCAGAAGGCAGCACTGCTCGGAACTTCTCATCGACATCGGACAGCTCCTCTCGAATTTCAAAGAGCACTGAGTCATGTTGCATCCGCTCTTACGCAGAAAAGACCCAGAATCACACACACTTGCATACATATGTATATATAGAGAGAGAGGTGTGCGCATTTGTGCAAAACCTTCACCTATGTAACAAAAACTGATACTTATACATACATACATACATACATACATACATACATACATATATACATATATATATATATATATGCTATGCATTGCCCACATCGCCCTCGGCACCATGAGCCGTCCCCATCCGTGCAAGGATCAAAAACTGACCACATGTCACATCAGAACCACGGGAATCAAAATGATCACTGTGGGTGGCTTAAAGCCAAGCATGCTGCTTAAGTGGCTCGAGTGTCCCGCAACCTGTGCGGCTGCAGTGAGGCCCCCTCATGCTACCCTGCAGTCCCCCGTCCTTGAGCTGCCGCTCCAGCTTCACGTTGCTGGTGGCCAGGCGTTTGTTCTGGAACGTAAGCATGGCTACTGAGTCTCTCAAGCTCTGCAGAAAACATGGGTCCGTCCTTGGATTTGGCGATCAAGGGCACCCCAAACCCATGGTCCCCCAAAAACTTTAGGAGACGGACTAATTGCTAATGGTATTCCCTTCTGGTCCCTATATGATTATACTACAATAACCCCCAAAACCCTATGCTAATTATGAAAGGCCCTTATATTGCCCACGCAAAGAAGCTCAACAGACTGCTTCAACTCGACCGGCGGGCGCCATCCAGCAGACCAACTCCAAAAAAACAAAAAGCTGGGTGTAAACTCTAAGGCTCTGTAGGGCTGATGTATACAAAAAGGGTTTAGGGTTTAGGGTTTAGGGTTTAGGGTTTAGGGTTTAGGTTTTAGGGTTTAGGGTTTAGGGTTTAGGGTTCAGGGTTTAGGGTTTAGGGTTTAGGGATAGGGGCTTCAAAAGGGCGTAGGGCTTACGCACATGAAACAGGAGCGGGCTTGAAGGGGGATGCAAGAAAGCGGCCCGACGACATAAATGGAACCTTCGGCGCGGTGAGGGAGGGATGGGGCCCCTAACCCTAAACCCTAAACCCTAAACCCTAAACCCTAAACCCTAAACCCCCTGATGCAGCTCACCACCTCAAGGACAGCAACCTGCAGCAGCACCCCTTGACCCCAACATCCTCTTAGAGGTTTAGGGTTTAGAGCTTGGGGTTTAGGGCTTAGGGTTTCGGGTTTAGGGTCTAGGGTCTTAGGTCTTAGGGTTTAGGGCTGCTTCCTGCCCAGATGCTTAGGTGGAGCTTGCTAGTACCCAGCTAAGACACCAGCTGGGTTCAAACAAGGTTTAGGGTTTAGGGTTTGGGGTTTGGGGTTTGGGGTTTGGGGTTTGGGGTTTGGGGTTTGGGGTTTGGGGTTTGGGGTTTGGGGTTTGGGGTTTGGTGTTTGGGGTTTGGGGTTTGGGTTTTGGGGTTTGGGGTTTGGGGTTTGGGGTTTGGGGTTTGGGGTTTGGGGTTTGGGGTTTGGGGTTTGGGGTTTGGGGTTTGGGGTTTGGGGTTTGGGGTTTGGGGTTTGGGGTTTGGCGTTTCGGGTAGAGCTTGAACCATACAGATCCCAAATGTAATCCCATTGTACCCCAACTATAATAATACCCACATCGACGCCACTGGCCCTCCCTTGAAGCACCAGTAAGGAAACTTGCAGAGTCAGAGCTCTAAACCCTAAACCCGAAACCCTAAGCCTTAAACCCTAAATCCTAAACCCCAAACCCTAAACCCTAAACCCTAAACCCTAAACCCTAAACCTCAGCTTCTGCAAGTGGCCTGCCGCGGCGGCGCCGAGGAGGAAGCTCTGCCAGGAAAGCAGCGCGTTCTTGCGGGCATGTGGATTTGGGGTTCGGAGCTTCGGAACGGGTTTAGGGTTTAGGGTTCAGGGTTTAGGTTTTAGGGTTTAGGGTTTAGGGTTTAGGGGCTTTAGGGGCTTTAGGGGCTTTGGGCGCTTTAGGGGCTTTAGGGGCTTTAGGGGCTTTAGGCAGCTAGGTTGCCATGAGGATATCTGGGCTGCAAAATTTAGTATCTTTTAGCAGTCTAAAAGTTAGCAACATGACTGATATGGGCCACGTACCTACCATGGTTCACTTCTGGCCCCCGAACCCCAAAACCCTAAACCCCAAACCCCAAACCCCAAACCCCAAACCCTAAACCCTACCCCTGAGAAGAGGCGCTCCTTGGGCGGCAGCACCCCAATAATGAAGAAGGACAAGCCCAGGAACTGCGGATGGGAGGGTTTTGGGTTTCGGGTTTCGGGTTTAGGGTTTAGGGTTTAGGGTTTAGGGTTTAGGGTTCAGAGTTTAGGGCTCAGCATCTCAAGTCCAGGCATTCACTTGTCGAGCAGTGTGGTTCACTCTATCCATAAGCCCTGGGCCCTTTAAATTTGAACCCTAAACCCCAAACCCCAAACCCCAAACCCCAAACCCCAAACCCTAACCCCTCCCTAACCCCAAACCCTAAACTCTAAACCCTAGACCCTAAACCCTAAACCCTAAACCCAGACCCTAAAACTAGACCCTGAGACCGAAACTCCGAGGTTCCGAACCCTGAGGCTTACGTCATCCCAAGGCCCTTAACCCTCTAAGCACGAAACCCCTGATGCCTAAGCCCTGGGCCCTAAACCCACCCTGAAGGCCCTAAGCCCCGACAGCCCACGAAGTGACTGGGGCTTTTTGTTCCTCTCCCTCTCTCTCTCTCTCGCTCTCTCTCTCGCTCAATCTACACACATCCACCCACCCACCCACCCACCCACCCACCCACGCACGCACACTTGCCCCCCCGAGAGGGGGCGCGCTGGAGTCCTCTCCCTCTCACTCTCTTGTGCACGGCGGGCAAGGCTTCAGGTGTCCAGTCAGGCAATTGAAGCTCGACGGCTTCTTAAGATGGTGGCTAGGGTCCGTATAGGTTGATAATATGGCAGAAGGCTTGCCGGGTTCATTGTTGGCCACGGAGCCGACCGGCTGCCACTGCACTACACCCCTCGCAGCGTCAGGCCCCTAAATCCCAAAAGCCTCCTGAAACCAAACCCCCTGATCATGAGCCAGGGCACACACAAGATCCAAAGCCCACAGGCGAAATTCTGGATGTTCTGCATGATGCAGAAAAACTTGGCAGGCAATCTAGAGCTTGCAACTGGCACTTCCCAGCCTAGGGTTTAGAGTTTAGGGTTCAGGGTTTAGGGTTTAGGGTTTAGGGGTTTAGGGTTTAGGGTTTAGGGTTTAGGGTTTAGGGTTTAGGGTTTAGGGTTTAGGGTTTAGGGTTTAGGGTTTAGGGTTTAGGGTTTAGGGCTTAGCAGTGATTAGGGCTTGAAAAGGCTCTAACTCCAAAGCCCAAGAGGAACTCCGAAGGGTCAAAGTCTTTCAACAACTCTACCGCCGGCCCCAACGAACTTCAAACCGCAGGTGGGGGTGTCAAGACTACAGGGTTTAGGGTTTAGGGTTTAGGGTTTAGGGTTTAGGGTTTAGGGTTTAGGGCTTGGAGGTTCATGGTACTGATTAACCAATGATAACTGTACTTACAACCCACTTGCAAGCCCCTTAAGTGCCCTAACATGGTTGTTCTTGGGCTATAAGTACAGTTCTTGGGTTAGGAAGCACCATGAACCTCCAAGTGCTATTCCACAGTTCTCGCAAATTCCGGGCTTCAGGGGACGATTCTCAACTGCAATGATCCCAGGGGCAACTCGACAGGGGGTTTAGGGTTTGGGGTTTTAGGGTTTAGGGTTTAGGGTTTAGGGTTCAGGGTTTAGGGTTTAGGGTTTAGGGTTTCGGCTGCAGATACTACTTCAAGCCCGACATTTGGGAGCTGAGGAGCGGCAGAATTAGGGAGTCCTGGGCTCCGGTGGAAAAGATCTGTACTTATAACCCACTTAAAAAAATATATCTAAAAAAAACGTATGCCACATGATGATAATGGGGTTCTAAGTACAATTAAAATTGGGGTTAGAAGTACCGTGAACCTGCAAGCGGGCTCCGCGGGGATGTAAGGCGCGCTGCGGACGGCTCCTCCCAGACCAGCCCAGGTAGCAGAGCATCCTTCAGCCATTGCAACTTGCCTCCAGAGGTGTTGCCAGGGTTTAGGGTTTAGGGTTTAGGCTTTAGGGTTTAGGCTTTAGGGTTTAGGGTTTAGGGTTCAGGGTTTAGGGTTTAGGGTTTAGAGTTTAGGGTTTGCGGTTTAGGGCTCGCACCACACGTGCAGGGATGAAACATACGGCCCGTCTGGTCTCACTAGGTGCTGGTCTAGGAGAGACGGGGAAAAAAAAGGTACAAAAATCTACATGCCAGGGCATGGAACTCGGGGCTTACTGGGAGAACTCTCAACTGTGCCTCTACCGACTATCACACAAGGCAAACCCATGGGGCCTGCGAACATCAAAGGCGTCCCAGAAGTCAGCAAGCCGAAACCCTAAACCCTAAACCCATTGGGCCTGCAGACATCAAAGACCTCCCAGAAATCTGTAAGCCTGTCATCCAGGAAAGACCAAGGGTTGAGTGTTCAGGGCTTTCGGGCCGGGATGTTCCCCCTTTATGCTAACAGTCCTTAACAGGGATTAGAGTCCCCCCCCCCCGATGATAATCCCTATAAAGGAGCTGTAAGTATCAGGGGGAACATCCCAAGAGTTTTGTGTTCAGGGTTTAGAGTTTAGGGTACAAGTATCTACTTCGGGGATTTAAGCTCGGGTCGGCCCTCACACCCCACCTTCTGGGGTTGAAGTGAACTTCTTCAGAAGGCCCCTCGAAATCCTACTTGGAGGCTCATGGTACTTACTGACCCAGCTAGAACCGTACTTAAAACCCACTCTTATCAAGTCCCCTTAAGTGCCCTGGCATGGTCATAATTGGGTAATAAGTAACATGAACCAAGAAGAGGAAGCAGGTTTCAGGGGTTCAGGGTTTCGGGTTCATCTACAGTCCAGGCACTCACCAGGCCAGCGATTGACTTCGTGCAATGGAGAAACCCCAAACCCTAAACCCTGAACCCTCAAACCACCCACCCAGAGAACCCAACAACATGAAGAAAACGCAAGTTCCACTTTGTAAGCGGCATGCGACAAGACGCACAACATCAACAACACATGGCCCACTCTAAATCCTAGGTAGGCCTTGAACCCGAAATCCTAGGCCTTGAACCCTAAACCCTAGGCCCTGAACCCCAAACCCTGTTGGTGCTGATTAGGGCTGGCGGACGGCGGATGGACTCGAAATTTAAGCCGGGTTGGTGGCCAATGAACAGGGTTGGTGTCCGAGCTGCAGCCGATTGACCGAAACCGAAAAAGGCTCAAACCAGCTCCTACTTCTTAGGCGTGCAAAAACAAACACTTGTATAAATATGTATATATGCATAGATGTAGATGTATCATTATATTTTTCATGGATTCGAGAGGGTTTAGGGTTTAGGGTGTAGCCTAAACCCTAAACCCTGAACCCTTTCTCTACCTTAAACCCTGTTTCTACCCTAAACCCTTTTTCTACACGAAACCCTTTGTCTACCCAAAACCCTTTTTGGACCCTCAACCCTCAGGCCCACCAACCCTGACACCCTAAACCCTAAACCCTAAACCCTAAACCCTAAACCCTAAAACCCTAAAACCCTAAACCCTAAACCCTAAGCCCTAAACCCTAAACCCTAGACCCCTCCCCGGGCCTCCTTGTGCGGATGCATCGCTCTCGGCATCGCTGCTGGCCTCGCTGCTGCTCTGCTCGGTGGTGCCCGTGGTCACCGACGTGGGGCTGGTCTCCATGGCGAGGGCTTTATATATATGTACGCATATGTTGTGCATTTTGTATTGCCTTATTCCTCCGTTTACTTATTTTTTTGCTGTTTTTGGGGTGAGTTTTTTTGAGGGAGGGTAGGGATGAGTAGGGTTCAGGGTTAAGGGGATTTGGGGCTGCAGGCGAGCGCTTCGGAAAAGCAAACGCTCTGTAGATGTTTGCGCGTGTGTTCACGCAAGGCCTGTGCTGGGCCCGTTCATCTTCAAGCAGTCGGCTGCGGGTTTGATCGGCACACTCCGGAATGTGGCGGGGGCTAATGGGGCATGGAGTACCCGGCATGCAGTGGAAGGTGCAAAACCACCTGCAACTCAAGCCCGGACCCCGCACCCAAACCCCAAACTTCAAACCCCGGCAGAACCCCTCCTGGTCGGCTCCCGAAGCAGAATGTTGGAAGGGGGAAGCCAGGGGGCAGGGTCTTCGCAAGCGCTTTCTCGATTTGTGGGCCGAGCTCTCCATGCTGGCTAAGGCTGCCAGCCCTTGTCAACTGCTGCTCTAAACTGGCAACGGAGTCCGTCAGCATGGACAGCAGTTTCATGAAGAATACCCGAAACCCTAAACCCTGAACCCTAAACCCTAAACCCTTAATTAAACCCGAAACCCTAAACCCAAACCCCTGAGCCCTACTTAAAGCTGCTAAGAAACCGCAAGGCTACGACGCCAGTGCTCTTCCTGTCTCGGCCCGAGCTCACAGCTCCGAGTGGAGGACATGGTGCTGCGGCCTGCCTCGCGGTGGGTTTAGGGTTTAGGGTTTAGGGTTTAGGGTTTAGGGTTTAGGGCTTGGGGTTTGGGGTTTGGGGTTTAGGGTTTAGGGTTTAGGGTTTAGGGTTTAGGGATGTTTAGGGCATCAGCGGCCTTAATCATTAGAATAGGGTTATTTTTGGGGGGTAATATAGTCTGATGACAACGGGACCCTAAGGGAATACTAGTTGTCATTCTTCCGACCCCTATAGTACATGTTGCTGTTTTGGGCTTAGGGTTTGGGTTTGGGGCTTTGGGTTTTGGGTTCAGGGTTTGGGGTTTAGGGTTTGGGGTTTAGGGTTTAGGGTTTAGGGTTTAGGGTTTAGGGTTTAAGGTTTAGTTTTTAGGGTTTAGGGTCTCCCCACAAACTCTAGGGTAGGGTCGAGTCTGAGGCTTCAGGGTTTCAAGGGGGGACCCGAGACTGTCATCAGGAAAGTGGTTTAGGGTTTAGGGTTTAGGGTTTTGGGTTTAGGGTTTAGGTTTTAGGGAAGCTAACCGCTACAACCCCAATCACGAAATGGCATTGGGGCTCGACTTTTACTTCTGCCACAACTCCCAGGCTACAATCGTACTATTGTGTGGAACACCCCCCCCTCCCCCCCCACAAAAGCCACCATAAAAACCCTAAACCCTAAACCCTACACCCTAATTAAACCCGATACCCCCTGCACCCCCTCTATTTTGGGGGCGCGGCAGGGCCTTGCAAAAACCGGCACTGTTTTAAAGGTTGGAAGTCGAAGCGCACACCGAACCTCTCAAGCCCTGCGTCATGGGTTTCCCTACGACCCCCCTCTACACCATACTGGTTTAGGGTTTAGGGTTTAGGGCGTAGGGCATGGGAGGGTTTAGGGTTAGGGTTGGGTTTAGGGTTTAGGGTTTGGGGTTTGGGGCTTGGGGCTTGGGGCTTGGGACTTGGGGCTTGGGGCTTGGGGCTTGGGGTTTGGGGCTAAACCCCCTAGGCTCCCCCCTTAAATAACCTTAATCAGGCTTCATCATCCCCATATAGCCTCAATTATGGGGCGAACGTAGGGGGAGAGTAGTATAGAGAGGGGTCGTCGAAACCCCAAACCCCAAGCCCCAAACCCCAAACCCTGAACCCTAAACCTTGATTACACGGGTAGCCCAAGGAGCCCATGTTGTCAAACACGGCGTCCACCGCGGCATCCTGGAAAATGTCTAGGGCCCCTAACCCCTCTACGAAAGCCCTACTAGGGTTTCGGGTTTAGGGTTTAGGGTTTAGGGTTTTGGGTTTAGGGTTTAGGGTTATGGGAAACCCTCTACTAAATCCTCTACTGAACCCGACAAAATTCCTACTAAACGCTCTACTAAACCCTACTAATTCCGACTAAACCGCTAGTAAGACCCGAAATCCTGCCAAAACCTAAACCCTAAACCCGGGGCATCTCTTTCGGGCTGAGGGTGGAGGGAAGCGACTTGAAGGTGCAGGGTGTGCTTACACGCAGGGTTTAGGGCTTTGGGCTTGAGGTTTTTTGCCGCCGCCCAGCTGAACTGTACTGTACGTCCACATGGCAGGGAATTGGCTGTAAATCTGTGGAAAAATCTTAAATCTCACTCCACATATGGGTTGCGGCCGAGTTAACATTGTTCTCGGCCAGGGTTGCGGGCTTAGGGCTTCGGGGCTCAAGGTTTAGGGCTTTGGGTCTATGGCACAGTTCTAGCTACAGTTATCCTACTTACAGTTTCAGGTTTCAGCTACCCACGAACCTCCGACTAAGGGCGCAACCAACCGTGCCTAAACCCCAAACCCTATACCCCAAAAGAAACACGCCACCTTTAGCAGGTAGAGCCGAGAAGCTGAAAGAAGGTTCCGGAGATGGGGTCCGAGTTCGGGCAGTTCGGGGGCGAGTTCCCTGCTAACATGGACCGGAATTTGCGAGCTCCCCTAAACCCCAAACCCTAAACCACAGAACCCCAAATTTTCTGGGGGTGTGCTTGGGTGCCCGATGGATGTCCAGAATTCCATCCAGGGAGTCGATGCGAGCAACCTCGGCCAAGGAGAGCTCGAAGCCAAAGCTGTCCAGGTTCGACCTGGGGTTTGCAATCTCGGGTTTTTGGTGCCAAAGGTTGTGGGTTGAGGGCTTTATGGGGACTAGGGTTTAAGCTTAGGGTTTGCGGCTTGGGATGGGGAATCGTCTTGTGCTCCACGTAGAACGCGACGTGAGCTCTTGAACCCTAAACCCTAAAGCGCTTAAAGCCTTGGAAACGATCAAGCCATCAAAAGCCAACCCTAACTACAACCTTGTTACGGCAGGATCGTAAACCCTAGGTCCCAAAAACAATGACTTCTAGGTTTGGGATCTTAAAGAGACCTGGAGGATCGGGAGGGGGGCGGGGGGGGGGGGGAGCATTGTGAGCAGTGATTAAGAAGGACGGCCCCTGTTTAAAATCCCTTTTAGGGCATGCATAACTACTCAAAGCGCCCAATCTCCCTCAAATGAAGATTCTACCTTAAATCATAGTAAGGATTCCTACAACTCGATTAAGCCCCCTGATCCTCCAAGAAGTGTGGCGCTTCTCAACGTTTCCCCCCCACCTGGACTCAGGAACATTCCTAAAGTTATGACCAGATGTGGTACGCAATCCAAAGACCCTAAGAAGATTTACGGTGTATATGCACATGTGCACGTATACACATATACATATATACATATATACATATATACATATATACATATATACATATATACATACTTGAGGGCCGGAGGCAGGGAGGACGAAAGCTCGGGGGCCGGAAGCAAGAGCAAAGTTGCAAGAGAAAGTGCGGGCAGGGCCCAGTTGGAGGCATGCTTGAGGGGCCAGCGTCTTCTTTTCAGCCGTCGCAGTGTTGGGTAGATACTAGCTTCTTGCAATCAACTAGCTTGTTGCAATCAACACATCACTAGTGGGCGGCGACGCATGTTGTGCTGGGAGCCTGACTCACGCGCTGCGGTCAACACGCGACGGAGTCAGGTCTTGACGTAAAAACGCCTCCCCTTAAGGTATTGATATATCAATTTACCCCCCCCCCCCCCCCCCCCCCCCCCCCACCCCCCCCCCCCCCCCCCCCCCCTCCAAAACCAGGAAATTCGTGTGATGTATCAATTTACCCCCCCCCCCCTCCCCCCCCCCCCCCCCAAAACCAAGGAATTCGTGTGATATATCAATTTACCCCCCCCCCCACCCCCCCCTAATAAGATAGTATCAATAATACGCTGTTTTCTGGCCGTGGTCGGCCCCCTGCTGCTAAAGCAGATAAAACTCCAGCTTCGCTACGCGAGCTTTCGTGATATACATATATACATATATACATATATACATATATACATATATACATATATACATATATACATATATACATATATACATATATACATACATACATATATACATATATACATATATACATATATACATATATACATATATACATATATACATATATACATATGTACATATGTACATATATATATATATATGTGTGTGTGTGTGTGTGTATGTGTGTATGACCTTATTGGGGTCCTTTGTACCTTTGAATAAGGGACTTGACATCGTGCACAACAAGGGAAGAATCCAGTCCGTGACATCCGGGTTTTTTAGGGTCTAGGGTTTAGTGTCTAGGGTTTGGGGTTTAGGGTTTAGGGTTTAGGGTTTGGGGTTTAGGGTTCAGGGTTTAGGGCTTAGCTTCATATCCAAGCACCCCGCCTCTGCCGCTCTGCGCTCGTTGAGGCTGGGATGACCGCCGCACCATGGTGCACCACCGCCCAATTCAAGACCACCTGGCTTAGTCTAGGATGCTTCCAGGCTTGGGGGTTTAGGGTTTGGGGTTTAGGGCTTGGGGTTTAGGGTTTGGGGTTTGGGGCTTAGGGTTTAGGGTTGAAGTGCTTTCACCCTAGAAGACAAAGGAACCCGCCGACCAAACATGTCTTCGGATGTGCAAAGCGGCGCCGTGGAGTTCGGGGTTTTGGGGTCCGCTTCCACGCGCCTAACTCCCTACGAACCCAAAGAGCCCAAAACCCTTCTTAAGGAATGTACCTTCAATCATACGAAGGATCCTTTAAAAATTGAAGGCATATTCCTTATGTTAGGGGCATTGGGCTCGTTGGGAAGTACCAGCCTGTTTCGGGTTCAGTGGAACTGTTTGAGGCACAACAGCTGCCTGGGGAACAGTGCGCTGGCGCAGAGCAGCGATTTCCCGAAGGACGGGGTGCTCCAGGACGGGGTTGTTCGAGCCATAGCCTTGTGAAGCAGAGCCGATGCAAGGTTCGCGGTGCTCGTCGGGAAGCCCGGGGAGTGACTACCGGTACTACTGTAGGGCTATATGTGCATTTCACAAAGAGATGTAGTCGGAGAAAGTATAACCTTTCTCATAAGAGCCGCCCAAAAGAGTACCACCCCCTAGTTTCGGAAACCATGGACCTGCATATGAAGATTACTACTGGGACCCCCTCCCTCAGCCCACGTTAGGCACCAGCACAGGTAAGAGTTATGCAAGGCTGGTAAAACTTTTATCTGGGACCGCTCAAACCTTCTCAAGGAACATGGGGCCTTCTTGCCCACTTGGACCCATGATTTTGGCGTTTGGGAGGGTCAGGGCAAGGGAGGCTTTGGGAGCTTGTGAAGCAGGTCAAAAGCTGCAGCGCATTGGGCCCTCACCCTAAATCCCAAACCAAGCCCTCAGCCCAACTTTTGCATTCAAGGCGCCCCGGAAGTGCACCCATTGAGAGCCGAGGCTGCTGTAGGCTTGGTACTGGATCCCCTCCTCGAAACGGAAACGGGGGGTTTGGCTACTGAAGTTCTAGGTGAGTAGTCACAGCCTAAGCCCTAAGACCCAGCGTTTTACGACTGACTCGGTTTTTTAGGGCCCGAAACAACAGACTCACGAGGACTCCAGGAGTCTGTGGAGCTCAGAGGGTTTAGGGTTTCGGGCCTAGGGTTTCGGGTTTATATAGGGTTTCGGGTTTAGGGTTTAGGGTCTAGGGTTTAGGGTCTAGGGTTGGTTTAGGGTTTAGGGTTGAGGGTCAGGGCTCACGGTGTCCAAAGCCCTCCTTCCGCGCCTCGCGACACCGGCGCCGAACCTCCCGGTCCTGGTGGAAGGGGTCCATCCTCAGACAGTTTTCTTGCTGTTGGTAAGTAGGGGATGGGGGAATAAGGTACCATATATCCCCGATATACCCTTTATATAAGGGAGTATATGCGGCCTTCAACCCTAAACCCTAAACCCTAAACCCTTATTCCCCCATTCCCTACGAACCAACAGCAAGTTTTGCCACGACTGTGGATGCAACTGGATTTTAAACTCTGCCCAGAGAGCCCTTTATACCCCCTGAATGAAGGAATCTACTTTGAATCATAGTAAGGATACCTTTGTAATTTAAGGTATGTTCCTGAGTTAAGGGGTATTGGGGTCTCTGGGTGATTCAGGGCTCGGGTTCAGGACGTGCGCGTGTGCATGTGCACATGTTTTGTGCATGCCCAGTCTGTGAGCTACATCGCAGACAAGCACCTGGAAGCAAAGCCCGACAGCCCGATGCTTATTGTTGGTTAGTAGGGAATGAAAGAATGAACTACTCATTGTAGTTGCTATTGCTACCATTCTTTCATTCCCTACTAACCAACAGTAAGCTGGAAGCAAAGCCCGGACAGCCCCATGTCGAAGATGCATAGGTGCAGCATTTTTGTCTCATGGCGAAATCTCAGACAATGCAAGATGAAACGTCTTCTCCACTCCCCCCCCCCCCTCCACCCGCCGCAACACCCCGCCCCCCAAACCCGCGAGTAGATCGCGGTGGGTTTGGACATCCCCTAAACCCTAAACCCTAAACCCTAAACCCTAAACCCTAAACCCCAAACCCCAACTTCCTGACAGTATGAACTTGCGCTGTGTGAGTTTGAGGGCGTTTCGGTCTTCGGGCCTCAAGGTAGGTCAATGGTGGGACTCCTTATATACCCTGTGATACACCCTGTACGAACCCAAGGGGCCCATACTTCAGAGCCCTTTAAAGGTAAGGGACCATATACACACCATGCACCTACCCTGAGCTTCAGCCGGAGGCGCCAGTTCTGGATGATATGAGGCCGCCGCCGCTGGCGCAGCAATTCCTCCAACAAGGCCCCATCGACATCGCAGATACCGATCGCCCGAACCAGGCCATCATCCATCAGGTCCTTCATGGGACACTACCTCGGACCCCGAAGGTTGCAGAGTAGGAGTATGATAACGGAAGCTCTTGGGGGTACAACCCTAGGGATCCGAGTCTGACTTTTTTGAGGGTTGGTTCGTCTTTGCGCGCTTTCGGGTCGAACAGGCTCGTCATTTGCCGAGTAGATGTGTCAACTACATGGGCGATTTCGCTTGCTGCACACTTTCGATTTGGTTTGCCGAGGACCACTTTCATCTGCCTAAATGGATCTCTCAGAAACAGCGCACGCCCATTCTCCTGATCGTTGCTGAGGCCTGTGTCCATTGAGGTGGGGTGGGCTGCATGCTTCGACGCTTGCTTTTGCTGCATTTGCTGGAAGTGCTGCAGTTGCTGCATGTGCTGCATCTCTGTTCTACTGCATCAACGTGCCTTGTGCCAAAGCACCTCATAGGCCCCAGGCGCAGCTCCCTGAGTAGCCCTTTTGCCCGTGTACTGCAGCACGTCCCCTTTCAGGTGAAGGTACAAACCCCAAACACTTAACTCTTTTTGCACTGAAATGCGTGCTGGGAGCCATTGCTTTCTAAGCTAGACATTCTAAAATCCAAGCCTTGAGAACTGTCAGCGGTGTTCAAAAGTCTCGTTGCAGTTAATGGAAATAACACTCTTCCGCATGCGAGCTGCCTCAGACCTTGCGCCAGAAGCCGCGGCCCTTTAAGAAAGGATCGCACGGGCCGTTGCTTCTGCGGAGGCTTTCGCAGCCAGATTTTTAAGTGTTGCTTCTGCGGGGACTTCCGCAAAAAGGGTTCCTCCTCTTGTCATCACGCAGCATCCCGCAAAACAGAAACCCTAAACCCTAAACCCTAAACCCTAAACGAGAACGAGGGAGCGTGCTTCCGGAACATGCTTCCACAAGCCATGAGCTACCGCCAAGGCTTCCAAGAGCTTCCGCCGCCACAGCGCAGAGCAAGGTACCGGCATCATTTTCCCGTACGAAGGAGGCTACAAAAAGACGCAAAAAGGAACGCTCATGCGGCAAAGAGACAGAGAGAAAGAGAGGTACTAGTATATTCGTTATTGTACATTTTTTTCGAAAATGATACCATACGGTCACTTCTGTAAAATATGGTCCCTTTTGGGCCCAACAAGGGACCATAATTTAGAGAACTGATCCATACAATCACCTTAAACCAGATTCAGGAGAATACATCATGACATTATGTGTCAGTATCTTGTGTGACATTTAGATGACATTCTACTCGATTGTTTTTAGCTGCGCCTCGACCCTAAACCCTAAACCCTCAACCCTAAACCCTAAACCCTAAACCCTAAACCCTAAACCCTAAACCCTAAACCCTAAACCCTAAACCCTCCTCGAGGGCTCGCCAGCTGTCTTGCCAGGTGCCCTCGGGAGCGCGGGTGCACGCACCAGGCCAGCAGCGCGGCTTGTGCAGCCTCATGGGGCCCTGTTGGGCTCTAGGACTTTCAAGGGGCCTTATAGGGTACTTCAGGACTTTCAGGGGTCTTATAGGGCACTTAAGGACTTTCAGGGGTCTTCTAGGGTACTTAAGGACTTTCAGGGGTCTTATAGGGTTCTTAAGGGGCCTCTCAAAGTTTTGGGGCCTGGGCTTGGGCCCTGTTGGGCTTTTAGGGATGTTTGCTTCTTGCCGCGTGCCAAGCAGGCTGGGGGCGTTTAGGTCTGTGGTTCAGGGTTCATGGTTTGAGGTTTCGGGTTTAGGGTTTAGGGTTTAGGGTTCGGGGTTTAGGATTTCAGGCGTAGGGGGTGGCTTAAGGAGGGGTGCTTTCTCTTCTGAAAGCATCCCGATGACCCTAAACTCTAAACCCTAAACCCCGAAACCTGGCTCTCCATGGCCAGGGAGCAGCATGGCATCCAGGTAGTCGGTCTTCAACCGCCGCAGAGAGCGCGCGAACGCGCGCTTGGTCGCGGCATAGCCCAGATCCTCCGGATGGATCTTGCCTCGCGCAGTCTCTCCATCTCTCCAGGTCAGCTACATGCGCCAGCTCGACGTGTGGAAGTGTGTGGTCTCGGAGCGAGTCGTAACAGCCACTTAGGGTTTAGGGCTTTTGGCTTAGGGCTTAGGGTTTAGGGTTTATTGCTTCTATGAGGAGTGTCACACCTCACCGCCTAAGCAGCACAGCTGGGCGCAAATCAATCAACCAAGCTCGGCGCTTTGTAGAAACAGCTCCTTGGCACAGTCGGGCGTTCGAGCTGACAGACTGGCTGAAGCTTGCAATGCACAGAAAAACCGTATGCACATGTATACAGATAACTATACACATGTGTATATATATATATATATATAGCGATAGGCTCTCATCAGATGTATATGTTTTTATATGTGCTCCCACGTAAATGTATAGTTATATATAGTTATATATCTATATATATATATATATATATATATATACATATACATGTATCTCTACATGCTCCCGTATACATACATATATATATATATATACATATATATATATATATGTATATTTACATTTGTTAATGTACAAACAATAGTTGCAGACCAGGCTCCTGGCGAGGTACGCCACTCAGCTCGACAGCCTCGCCCACCTCCTCCTCATTGTAGCCCCATCTTGGCCGCCGGCAATGAAGGCTTCTAGGTTTAGGGTTTAGGGTTTAGGGTTTAGGGTCTAGGGTCTAGGGTTTAGCAGACAACCTAAAGCTCAAGGTAGCCGGTAGAAGGCATCCTACGCTTCATGGGCAAGTTTGGATGCCCAGCTGCTGATGGGCCTGCGCGGTATCGAAACACCGATATCCCGTCTCCAGGGCAGACCGCACGTGCGGAAGCCTGTTCAACGCCGATGCGAAGTGCCCTAAACCCTAAACCCTAAACCCTAAACCCTAAACCCTAAACCCTAAACCCTAAACCCTAAACCCTAAACCCTAAACCCTAAACCCTAAACCCTCACCCCTAACCCCTAAACCCTAAACCCTGCTACAGAAGGCTGGGCCGGCCCCAAAGAGGCCTATAGCATAACCATGGCATAAGAAACAATCAACAGGAACAAAATGACAGCAACATGCAAACCCCAAGAACAATATCATAGTAGCAACATGGAAATAACAAAAACAGCATTACAAGAAGAAGAAGAAGAAGAAGAAGAGGAGGAATGATAATAGCAATAATAGAACAATAATACAAAAACACTATAGCACTGTTATACTATCGTACGACGAACAAAAAGACTGGAGCAACACAATAACAATGACATAAAAAAATAAGACTACGGATACCAGCTAATATGATAACGAGAATGGGAAGGAGAATGATAACGACCATATTGAGTAACAACATAAGCAAAAGCATCCTCACATAACCCAATAACAAAGAAACAATAACATCAACAGAACTTCCGTGCGAGATGCTAGACTCGAGGCACAGCTCCCTTTCTTGCAGGTTCTGTCATGTTCTGTCCAGCCTCGCGCCTCGACCCGAGCCCTGAATCACAGCGTTTAGGGCTTCGGGTCTCGGGTTTAGGGTTTAAGGTTTAGGGCAGATGAAAACCAGCCTCACACCACTGGCGCAGCCGAGCCCCATGAGAGGGAGCCTCACATCTGGGGTTTCTAGGGTTTGGGGCTCATGGCTCTGTTCTCAGCTCTCGCTCTCTCTCTCTCTCTCTCTCTCTCTCTCTCTCTCCTTTTTTTGAACGACGATTTTCGGAAGAGTCCTACATGCGCGGTCAGTTATCAGCCTACTGCCGGTCGCCCTCACCCGAAACACTTTTGGCTTGCCTCTAGATCTGAGGGCTGCGGGTTCGCGATTAGCCACAAACCCCGAAAACTGCCGGGTGACTCCAAGATCGCTTGCCCAGGGAGACTAGACATACTTTGATAAATACGCTACTTACTTGTGTATGTATATATATATATATACAGATACCTTTTTCCATTCATATAGATACATTTACATATTCATACAAAATTTATACACACACACATATATATATATATAGAGACATGGATATATATATATATATATATCTATGCATACATACACATATATGTATTGCTGACATTGCACTCGGGATCTTAATCTGATTCAAGGAATCTTCCGTAGATCATGTTAAATCCTGGCGTCTGGGCGCAAGAGCTGCCAACCCTCAAGGGATATCATATCTATATGACAGTATATGTCTAGTTGTTCATACATAAAATATTTGTGTTTATATGGTTTCTATTTATATAAATGCACATGTAGATACATATGTATATATATATGTGCATGTACGTGTTTACATATACATATACATATACATATACATATACATATACATATACATATACATATACATATACATATACATATACATATACATATACATATACATATACATATGTATATATATATATATGTATATGTATATGTATATATATATATATATATACGGGCGTGTATTTATTTATTTGCTCATTTTTGAAACTATGCATAAAATATATATATATATATATTGTATATATATATATATTGTATATATATATATATATATATATATATATATATATATATATATATATTTATTTTTTTATGTATTTATTTATTTATATTTATTTATATATTTATTTTATTTATTTGTATGCTTAAAATGCCTGTGGCCGTTGCCCAAGGCAGCCGTAGGAGTGTTGGGAGTCGAACAGGCGAGCCTGGCGGTGCAGTTGCCGGGGGTGCAGGGCTTTTTGGGTTTGGGGTTTACAGGTTTGAGGGGCGTGCAGAGAGTGCCTACTCAGATTCAAGGGGTAGTGGTACCCTTTTTTAAGGCTCCTGTATGAAAGCAGGCCGCTTTACAGGGATCGCCTGCATGCAGGTACACGGTGCGAACAGTGCACGGGTGATCACCCGCCTGTCCGTAAACAGCACTCAGGCACATGAGGCCCAAAGCGATGCAGGGCGACGCCCTCAATCATGGAGACATCTCGTGTGGGCCGTGACAAAGAAGGCTCAGGAGAGAACCCGGTGTGGTTCACTGCACGTCTGTTGCTTTGCACTGCTACCGCGATAGGATACGCTTCTCAAGTTCTACTGGATGCTCGGGGGCCAAGCTGGCCAGGCTGGTTCAGCACGACCTCTCGTTGCACTAATGCTGTGCATGCACAGACAAATGTGTAAGTTTCAGACACCGTCGCACATAAACACCTAAGCACCGAAACAACACATATACACGATCATAGCATACACGTGCCGTGTACACAGATGCCTTTACACATGCCACACACGCACACACCCTCCCAACATGAATCCATCCGTCCACCCATACACACGGCGACCCGGCTTCTAAAGGGGGAAAGGAACGCTTACCAAGCCCTCGAGTTAGGCAGAACCTCGCGTTAGGCAGAAGCCATTCAGGGTCTCGTCGTAACCCTACTGACTGACAGGGTCTTTTGCCACGTGCCTTCTGGAGTTACTTGGAGGTTCATGGTCCTTATTTGCCAATTGTAACTGTACTTATAACCCACTTTTATGCCCCTTAAGTGCCCTAATATGGTTATAAGCACAGTTATAAGTGCAGCTATTATTGGTTAGCAAGTACCATGAACCTCTAAGTAGGGTTTTGAGCATGAGGCTGGGGATGCGGGGGAATGGCGAAGCGCCTCGGTGCCCTCAGCAAAAGCGGCAGAAATAGCAGCCCTGGCCACGCCATTGCGTTGCGAAGGGCTGAAAGCACCAATGCTATGCTACTTGTCTATTCCTGTATTCTCGTAATATCATTTTGGATTCTTGGGCTACTTTAAGTCCGAGTCCCCGATTTCGGCACAGTCCTCTCAGACCCAGCCGCGATCCGTGCACCGGCAGAGCCTCAGGTCGACTGCTGCAAGAGGATGCGAGAGAGCGCGTCGCAAGGTAGCCTCTAACACCAGACCCAGGAGCAACCTGTAGGAATAAAAAGGGTGCCCTTTTTGATTAACGGGTTTGTAAAGGAACCTGAAACTTTTCAAAAAAGGGACTAAGGGCCTACTCTGGGTCCTAGAATCTCATTACCCTGCCCATGTCTTGGCTACATGGCACAGCCCTGGTTTGGATCTTCCCCGAAGCAGGAGCAGCCTCGAGGGGGGGGCAGCTGCTAAAACTGTCAGGGATGCAGGCCCAATCCTACCGTAATGGGGAAGGAGCAAAGCGGTGTCTCGTGCGCAGGGCGATCCCGAAGGCGTTCTTTTGCCTGCTTGGTGGGCTGGAGGGACTCGAAAGCAGGCAGCTGCGGGTTGATCTACATCCTGGGCCCCCTAAACCCTAAACCCTAAACCCTGATAGGGGACTCAAGAACCAGAGGGCCAAATACCCCTTCATCAAGGAACATACCTTAACTTACAAAGTGGATCCTTGTTGTGATTGAAGGAATATTACGTAACTAAGGGGTGTAAAGGGCTCTTTGGGAGTAGGATGGCCCTGGTTGGGGTTCCGCTGAAGAGGGTGCTGCGAACTCTTTGTGCCTACTACTCGGAGGTTCATGGTACTTACTAACCAATTACAAATGTTATAACCCACTTATTAAGCCCCTTAAGTGCCCTAGCATGGCTACAAGTACAGTTACAAGTACAGTTATAATACCAGGAACCTCCAAGTGAGTTCTTCCCGATACCCTGGCTTGAGAGCGCCACACAGGGGCCCGTCGTTTTGACAAACCCCCCAAGATTGGGATGTTCCCCCTTCTGCTAACAGTCCTTAATAGGGATTATAGTACCCCCTATTGTCATCCCCATTAAGGACTGTTAGTACAAGGGGAATATCCCAACCCCCAATATTCCAACGGCAGCCTTGTGCTGGTGAGACAAGGAGGCACCCGAAGCTTCCGGGGCAAGAGACCCAAAGAGCCCAATACCCTAAGGAATATTCCTTAAATCATATTAAGGATCCCTTTAGCGTGTGGCTTGCAGCAGGGCTTGTCACAACTTTACCTGTGGCTAACACCTTTACGAGGTAGGCGCTATCACAGATCTGGGTGGTCTAACTAAGTTGGCCTTGGCTTGGTTCGCTTTCTTAGTTGTCCTTTATTCGCTTGCCCTAGGTCACCCAACTAGTGCACGGCAATATGTTCTTGCGGTGGTTTCTTGGTTGCGCATTCTTCCTCTCCTCTTTCGCATGCCTCGCCATGGGCCCCCGTGCTAGATGGGAAACCTCTCCAGATGTTCCAGGCTTGAGGTTGGCCTATTCGGCAGAGATCTGTCGCCCGCTCTCGCTTGAGCATTTCCCTGAAGATGTCTTTCCAGCGCTGCAGATGCACCCATCAGCTTCGGGAATCACGTTTGCAACTTTTGCAAGCTTTGAAAGGATTGCGAACATCAGAACAAATGGGGCCTGCTTGGTTATCCTTTCCGGATATGTCAAGCCGAAGGTGGAACGGTTGGGCTTTGAGAGTGAGAGAATCATCTCCACAACCATTACGGTAAAAGATATCATCCAGAATTGTGAAGAGATGCGTGCAGTGACATTGGTGAATATGTCGATGGATTCTGACGAGTTCTTTTCCATCCCCGATGCTGCGCCTGATGTAGAGGTAGCTCATGTTGAGAGAGTGGCCATTTTTGCAGAAATTCGCCAACTCGACTCTACAGCAGACGATTGGGCCAACTTCGGGAATCTGGAAGCGTTCCATAACTATGTGTGTCAGGTCATTGAGCACCACTCTGTGCTTGCCAATGCTGTGCTTTACAAGATCTTTGAGCGTGAAGGCTACTTGTGCCGGCGACTTCAAGTGCCTGTTGCTG